ACAAAGAGATCAAATTAAAAGAGGAAGAATAGTAACAAAAAAGAAAGAAAAAGGAAGCTGGAAATGGGGATGGGGGTGTAGGGGGAAAGGTGCCAGAACATGTGCAGCTTATTTAGCTTTGTCGCATCCATTTCCTTGATCCAATCGTCTGAAACTTGTCCGAGTGCCAGATCAGGGTATCACCCATACAAACAGACTAAAAAAGGTGATATAAAGCTGGCAAGTAATTTTTTTTTTTTTTTTTTTTTTTTTTTTTTGAGCCGATAGGCTATATAACGTACCAATGGGCTCCCAAGAAAAAAATACAAAAAGGAAAACAAGAGAGACAAAGAGAGAGGGCCAGCTTGTTGGGCTCCGAATCTCACTTGGCGTACTTTAATATATCAGATTTGAAGATCGAGCCGTGTTTGATCACACAGATCTCGACCACGATGCCACGACGCGTCTTTTTGGTCGGTCCTTGAAATAGTTCATAAAGTAAAATAAATGTAAGAAATGTTTAAATGTTTGACGGAGGATGAAATTAATAAAAAACCATATTATTTAAGCATTGTTGATGGCGAAATGAAACAGTGAAGATCATATCTGAGATAGAAATTAGCAATCAAAGTATACAATTATATGAAAGGATAAGAGCAAAGAGAAGACACAACACAAAAAAGAAAGAGTCAAGAAAAAGAAGAAAAAAGATATCAGAAAATTGACACCATGCGTTGTACTCTTGCCAGCGGGAATAAAAAAAATAAAAAATAAAAAAAAGATTCTCGTCTCGCGTGGGACTAAGAGATACACAATCTCTGAAAGCATTGAAATGCAAGTATATATACAAGCATGACAACAGTAAGGGTACTTTGGGAATGTATCCTTGCATCTTACAGAACAGGACACACAGACACAGGACACAAGCACACAGGCACAAGAAGCACAGACAGAAAGACGCTTCAACCAAAGTATATAGTTAAGGCTACATTAAAATATATATAACATCAAAAAAAGGCAAAGAATTTAGTGCCTTGTGCATAGCACACTGTAGAATGATTCTCACCTTGTAAAACGATTCCCACGTGCCTTAAATAGAGTGTAAGTTCCTTACTTGGGCCACAGATATGATAAATACGATCTACAAAGGATAGCAGTAATTAAAAAAAATTGGTTGCAAAGAAGTTTGGATTATGAGGAAAGGAGTGATGGGAAGTGCTCCAAGTTTATATCAATGATAATTTTTAGATTATTATGAAACTGGTCGTGCGTAAAGCTGACTACTGAGGCAACAACAACAATAACAACAACAATACCATCAACACAAATAAGACCTAGAAATGAATGGCATTCAAAATTTAGTGTGCCATGTCCACGCGCAAACCAAAAAGAAAAGAAACATGATTTGTTGGGCAAAAAGGGAAGTATCGTTTTTTTGGGCAACTAACATCAGTCCGTGGGCCAAACAAGTCAAGCAGACCAAACAGATCAAGCAAACGGTCAGGGTCAGTCATTTGCTTTGTTTGTTGTTTGTTTTGAGCAACAATGAAATATTATTTGGTTGGATAAGAGCGAAGTGGGGGAATGGAGGAAAGAAATGATGATGTTGATAATACATATTAAGATGAATGGATTGTACATGTTATTTGTATTGCGTTATAAAACAATACATAGAGCTGCAGCAAGGTAAAGTCTTCTCTCCATTAACGGACCAAAAATACAACGTTGCATAACCGAAACACTAATGCCAACTCTTAGCAATAACAACAAAAAGCAATTGCATGCAATAAAAAGTTAGATTGTTAACAAACCTCAGTATGAGAGAAGAAAGAGCAGAGTAAAAAAGAAGATAAATGAATATATGAGCCAGAATGTTTGCATTGAGCTGTACATTGTTCAGACATTTGGATGAAAATGAACATGTGGGAAAGGCTCACTTCACTCTACCAGCTGATGTGTACATGAATATAGCATATATACAGTAATTGGTGAGGAGCTGACAATAGGGGACACAAAGTACAGAAGTACAGTTCAAAAAAAAGAAAAAGGAAAAGGAAAAAAAGCACGCCGCTTGTTATGGCAGTAACTTTTGAATCTGATTCTGATTCTGGCTTTGGTTCTGGTTCTGGATGGTTTCTGTACAGGAAGTCTTGTAAACTTACTTCTAAAATTTACTCAATCTCACGTTGTCAAAAAATTAAGCGCGTTTTAATATACGCTCAATACGAGATAAAAGCAAGAAGGCCCAAGAGTGAATGAGCGCGTGGAATGAATGAGAAGAAATGTGAATCGAATGAGTATAAAAAAGAGATGCGCAAGCAAACAAGCATGCAAAATAACAATAATATTATTATTATCAATAAAGAATACTTCTATCAACTAAAGAAATGAATCTCTGGTTAGAGAACTGAGTGAAGGACGGTAAAAGAAAGTGTATGTGTATAATCAAATGCTTTTCATTTTTGGCCTCATACACAAATATTGACTCTGTCTTCTTTCTTCCCTCAATCTACTTTAATCCGTATCGATCCATCTTTTCTTTGTTGACATATCCAGATCTCTTGTGGTTGTGGTTGTTTTTGTCCATGTTGCAACGACAGACAACAGTGCATTTGCATTCGGTACGCCGGTCTTTTGCTTCGCACACTCGCTGTGTGTTTGCTTTATTTATTTGCTATGTCTCTTTTTAAAAACAACAAAATAAACCTTTTTTTTTTCTTGATGGAGATCCAGGCCTATCTATTCATTACATCCACAGTGCTTACTGTTTTATATAAGTCTGGATACTCAACCCAAACAAATACAGTATGGAGTAGAAGAGCGAAGGCGTCGTGGGCACGTATCGCAAAACAACTAAATCCCTTTCCATTCTTATCCTCATCACTTTCGATTCACTTCACATAGTAATGCATATATTTATAGCCTCTTCTTCAACCCTCTTTTTTCATCCATTACTCTTCATTACCTATCGCCCTGTTCGGAGCGCGCTTTTCTTACAAGGAAATCCCAAAGCAACACAATATGACATTTAGCAAACATGCGATACAACTATATCTGTGGCAAGTCCATCTGAAGGATGCAAACTTATTCTGAAGATGGGGGAGGGCATACCTAACTTGATATCGCTTTCATTCCTCCACATCGGATGATGGCTACACGCCACACCAACGAGCATTAAGGCTCAAAAAAAAAAAAAAAAAAAAAAAAAAAAAGGTAATAGCTGTAACAAAGACATTGAAATGGAGTTTGTGTTTCTGCCTCTTTGAATAGCCTTTCTGGAAATGAGCTATCTTACGAATATATGAAATCAATATGTTCTTGATCGTGAAGGTAAAGAAAGGAATGGCATACAGGCGCACTACGAATGGCAACAGCACCAGTATCTTTCGCTCATGCCTTGTAGATATTCTATTATTTTTTCAGAATCCTTTCATATTAATTTCCTCCGCCGCTTCTGATACAATGCTCTCTTACAGTCTTTTTTTTTTTTTTTTTTCTCTTTTTTAACAAAAGAAAGTAGTAGCAGGAAATTATTCACACAGTTTTGCTAGATGCAGAGATGCTACAAACGTGATATGCATTGGTAATCTTGTACAACATCACCAACACCCATAGCTGCCTTGCCAAAGATGGTGTCTAGAAGAGGTTACAAAGTTTGTCCAATTAATTACATGTACGTCGTTTTACATGCGCCTCCTTTCTTAACTCGCATGAGCTGTCTCCGCGAAGACTGCTCGGAGCTCATTTCTATCTTGAGCCTAATTAGTGCGATATATCAGAGAGACGGGGTTTGGTTTTGGCTTTTTGTCTTTTGAAAGACTGTATATACCGTGCTCATCGAATACAAAAAAGTTTTTTTTTTTTTATTCTTTCGAGAGAGTATGCTTCCAAGGATTGCCTCAGCTGCACGAAAAGGAGCTTCCTCTTCAGTAGAGTATCATATCGTCATTTTTTGATGTCAACGGTGGTTAAAATACCTTCGTTGAAGGAAAAGGTCCACTGGCATACTTCCATGGCTTACTAAAAGTCTCCTTTGTCCAATACGTTCGCATCCAAAACATAGCGCCAGCCATCCTTCAGCACGAGCATTAGTAGCAAGGAGAGTGTGAGAAAGGATTTGTCTACACCCATGGGGATCTGACAACACCCTTTTGATTGCACATTTCCTATTTGCCGAAAAGTCTTTCTACATTCTCTCCACCTGCTTGGTAATGAAAAAAGATTCTTCCTAGAAGCCTTACCCATAGTGCTTGAACCCTTGGTCTAATAATGATAATAAGATTTTATCACCAACGTGCTTGCCATCCAATGGCACTTGGGTTCTTCACGTGGAGCGAATATAATTTCTCCTGCGTTGAGCAGATCGATCAATATAGGCAGTAAGGTTGCGGATCTACACGCCGCTTGGTGCTAGCATCTTTGGTCCAGTTGTAAGCCCCAACGCATGGTTGATCACGGTAAACTGATAGTGCGTATGTAATGCACTTGAAGAATAAGAATAGTAATAAAAAATAACGATCAATGATACATCCCCTTACTACCACCAACGTATGCTAGGATATAATACTCTTTTGCCAATCGCTTCGTATCTAAAAAATCATTTTTTGTTTTTATTTTTTTAGTATTTACGGGCCAACAGTTAATATACTTCCATGTACAAGCCGACCTAGTTTTTGTAGCCTAGGTTCGCTTCTATTTCAAGCCTTTAGGCCTCTGCCGATTCAGTTCTGGATCTCATCTCCCTTACTCCTCATATCAAGATGCCATGAGACTCGCTAAAGTGTGCTAAGCATTACTGTGAAGCTGGTATTCAGTTGCAGAGCCTTGACCATTTCGCATTGCGATCATTAAACAAGGACCTACAGTAGCCTCTGCCCATCTAGGCTCTCGGTGACACTCTACATCGTCAAGGACACTCACTTTTATTCTACACTCTTCCCTTGCCCCTCTTCATTTCGACTTCCTAAATCTTCTCACCATTACTTTGTCACATAGGCGAAGTTATGCCTATCTATTACAACATGGCGGAGGACCCTTCGCAACGATTCGTCTGGCTACCGATGCTATCCTATGTGCTTCTCGTTGAAGCTTCCTGGCCCTCTGTCAGTCAATCTACCGCTTATTCGATTCCTTTGACGTACTCTGTAAAAGAGCAAGCTTATTAGACAACCATTTCGAGGATCCTATCATCCGCTCTCTCGCCTTCTTTTTCTTCCTGGCAACGGAGCGGCCTGCTTATTCCCTATCTTTTTTCCATTTTTTCTTCCTTTTCTCACTTCTGGATGTTTCTTTTTCTTTATATTTAATCATCACTACAGTATACAACAATCCTCCACAATCATCAAACTCTTCCATTTCATCGCTTACTTTATATTGTTTTTAGAGGGGCGAGAAAACAAAAATGTAGAATAAAGGCGAATGTCCTTGACGATGTAGAGTGTCACCGAGAGCCTAGATGGGCAGAGGCTACTGTAGGTCCTTGTTTAATAATCGCAATGCGAATGGTCAAGGCTCTGCAACTGAATACCAGCTTCACAGTAATGTTTAGCACACTTTAGCGAGTCTCATGGCATCTTGATATGAGGGGTAAGGGGGATGTATAGATGAGATCCAGAGCTGAGTCAGCAGAGGTCTAGGGTATAGGAGTTGTACGTGAGAGCATGAGCTCTGAAGCCTGAAGACTAAAGACTGAAGTTTATTAGGGGAATTCTTCCTCTTCTTATATTGTTCTTCTATGAACCTAGCTGTGGTAGCTAGTGACGCAGCCCTACGAGGAGCATCCGCCACTTACTGATGAAAGACTCAAAGAGCTTTCATTAAATGTGGATCTGTAAGCACTATATATTATAGGAAAATAATTATAGATATTGCTAGTTATTGTTAGCTATTTTCAACCGTGGTCAGCAAACATCAGCCTATAACGATCAAAGAGGCCGATTATCATTGGAAGAACAGACCCTCAGAGGTAAGGAGGCGTGGTGGCATTGAAAGTTTAGTTGCTGTTAAAGGCCGGCCTAGAAAAGTTGGTTAGTAAAATCATCAATAATCTAATATGAACCATTCCGTTCTAATAGGAGATAAAGAGAAACATGGTTTCCAAGGGGCATAAAACAGATACAAATGAATATTAAATATACTACATGTGTTTGCATGTGTATGTGTTGACCAATAGCCTTGTAGATAATGGTCAAGACTCTCGCGAAAAGCGCACTGAACTGTTCAAGGATAGTACACACAAAGGGTCTTGTGGGGAATGAGCATGAAAACACCATCTCGATAGTGTCTTTTACGCCAGAAATCAGTGCTATTCTTCCTACTTTATTTGAATTTATGCTAAACGCACACGGAAAGGTGTGCTCTATGATGGGAAACAGGCTTCAATTAGTAACTATCAGGAAAAAAGACTTTGACACTTTACTTATGGCGAAGCTATCCTACACTGTGTTGATAATTTCGGAGGTAGTCTTGATACATGATAGAGCCGTATAACTGTAAGTGTGTAAGTTACACTTGGGATATTCATCTTCATGTAACCGTTGCTTCAAAAGAACTCTCGGAAGGAGCACGCGATGTGACTTCTCCCCGTGTTTCCTTTTTTGCACACACACGGTCGCGGGTTGAAATAATTTGCAAAGCGATGAGTCTTGTAAGAAAACCGGGTTGAGCTTGCCGCGGAAAATAAAAGCCCAACAAATGCTATGCAAAACATATTCGGCGCACATTCAAAGCACTTAAAACTGATCTCAATCTTCCATCGGTTTCTTTTGTTACCTTTTCACAAACAGCTTCGCTTCTTTTCTTCCTTTTCTTTCCTTTATTCTTTTTTTTTTTTTTTTTTTATTCTTAAACATTCACTACCTTTTCGTCATGTCTCTTTCCATTCTTTCCTCATCTCTCAAGGGATCAGTCCTCAAGGCTGTTCGACTCTCTGCTGCCACCTCAACTGTTGCAAGGCCTGCCTCTGTCTGGACCTCAAGACTTTACTCAACGGAACAGAGTGGCAACAATAACAACAGTAGCAATAATGATAATAATGGCAACAGGGATAACAAGGATAATAAGGAAGGCAATGCTGCCGCTGCCTCTGAAACAGAATCTGCGCCCGCAGACGCATCAAAAGAACAAACTGAAAACGGAAAGCCTGCTCACGAAGAAGCCCTAGCCGCTAAGGATAAACAAATTGCTGAGATCAAGGTAAAGACAAAGAACTTGAAATGGAAGGGACTGGCAAGACATCCCATCCATAGTGGTTCCAGGGACGAAATAAAGAACGCTACATCAAAAGTCATTTGTTTCCAACATTTTCTTAACTCGTTTTCTTTCCTTTCTTTTCATTTCCTTCCTTATTTCCTAACTAATCTACGAACAAATATCCAATGACATATACATGACGACTATACATATACATGTATGTATAAAAAAAGGATCGTTTGTTACGCACACTTGCAGACATGGAGAACCTCCGTCAGAGAACTGCCAAGGAAGTGAGCAACACCAAAGATTATGCTATTCAAAAGTTTGCCAAGGATCTCTTGGATACTGCAGATATATTGGGTATGGCGATCAAGAACGTGCCTGCAGAAGAGCTTTCAGAGAGCTCAAATAACGTCCATTTAAAGACGTTGCATACGGGAGTATCGATGACAAGAGATGAGCTCCTCAAGGCATTTAAGCGACATGGTATTGAGCCTTATGATCCCATCAATGAAAAGTTTGATCCAAATCTGCATCAAGCCAACTTTCAGGTGCCCATGCCCGGCAAGGAGCCCGGTACAGTCTTTGATGTTCAGAAGATTGGATTCATGATTAAGGGACGTGTCTTGCGGCCGGCACAAGTTGGTGTTGTTCAAGGAACAGATTAAAAAAAAAAAAAAAATCCAAATCGGGATGTAGTGTTGTGGAGGAGGAAGAGGGTATTTGGTTTTTCTTGTTTCTTATTTTTTTTTTTTCCAGCATCTTAATACTAGAGCATCTTTTCCTTTTTTTTTTTTTTAACATAATAAAATGAAACATACAGGCAAACAACACTTGTCGATGGGTTGATTTTTTATTTTGAAAGATTACTTCGCCTCTCTTATGATGGAGGTTTAGTATTGTCCTTGTTGAGCCCAGAGGCCTCATCATCATCAACGATTCCCAAGTTTCTTTTACGACGTTCCTCTCGTAGAGATGCCAACTAAGAATGACCGTGGTATAAAAAAAAGGATTTTAGAAGAAAGTCATAACATATTTTGTCATGTGGGAAGAATCATTTTCTGTGTGAAATATTTTTTTTTTACCCATTTCTTTTTACAGTCCGAGTAGTCCTTAAAGAATCGTGTACACCGCCTTTTGTCATAGTTGTTCTCATCCATACATTTCAATGAAGCTCTGGTTTGGGCACGACAAGGATCCATGAATTGTGATTGAGCCTTTAAATTGTATTCCTTGTTGAATTCTTTTAGTTCTTCGTCCGTAGTATGAATGTGTTCATGACTACGACGTGGGCCCTTCTTGGGTTGTTCATCTGTAGAAGAAGAAGGTTGTTGTTGTTGCTGTGGTCTGAAGCTAGCGCTTGTGACCGTGGTATTATTTCCTCGGTATACTGGCTTTGACTCTTCTTCCACTGACATAGTTTTATGATGCCCTTGAATGAGACAGGTTGCATTAAAAGAAGGGGAGGACGAAGGAAGAAAGAAGACTCAATAACCAGTTCTGAAGCACGTGACGCTATCTTTTTAATTCATTTTTTTTTTACGCGTCAAAGCTCATATCTGGTAATTTGGTACTTGCACATTCATTTATTAAAGAGCAACAAAGTATAAATGATATTTGATCTAAATTGCAACCGGATTTTGCTCTTTAGTTCTCTAAGTATCCATTTAAGGGCCACTTTCAACGAAAATGCCTCGGTATAATAATCACGATTATTATAGCTACTTCTATTTTTGATGAAGGATCGAATAGAGCTTAACAATACGGCCGTCGAGACCCATCATATGTATGAAATAGGTCTTTGTGGATATCAGCAGAGTGCTCAAGTTGATGCTCAATGGTCTGATAGGAACCATGAAGTCTATCAGACCTCATATCCCTGCCAAGGGGTAAGACAGATATTATATGGCATTTATTTTCAAATTGTGAGAGCGAAGGATAGAAGCTATGACAATGTTTTTCCACCGAGAAAACCATTGGTGGAATCGCAGACTTAGCGCACATTACCTTTCTTTTTTGGAGTATTCATGACAATAGAATCAAGGTCACGCTGCTCTAATGGTAGTATGGTCCGTTCCTGCCGCAAAAAGCTTTCGTCCACTGCCTGTGTCCGCGCATCCTCGACCTTCTGCTGCATGCTGCGGAGATGTTGCTAATATAGAGAGAAAAGATACAAAATAAATAAATAAGACAAACAAGCACACAAGATAAATAAATGGTAAGAGCCGGATACAGCTGGGACGTAACATTACCACATATGTGAGCAACCACCCGAGAGACTGCCCACCCAGGAACGCCTTCAAGTCTTTCTCATTAAGTGGTAACCTAATGCAAATTTGAGACAACAGACCAGAGACATGGACGCCTTCGTGCCAGCGGAGATAGACAATAGTGCCAGTGTAGCCAGAGACGTCAAGGAAAACCATGTAATCACCATTGTCAAGTTCAAACTTCACATGTCGCTGCAAATAAACTAAAATGGCTTTGTTAATGCGAATGTTTTTTCGAGACTGCCTTTTGTTCTCTTCAATATCTACCCCAACAGCCTTGAATTCGCTGTTATTTAATACAAGCGCATCCAGATGCAGGTGGAGATCCATCTTACGGCCACAGACACTCTTGCTTGTTCCACTAAATTCATGCTCTTGAAGGACTCTAATCTCTTTTGTTGCATCACTTGCGGGCTCGCCACTAGAAAATGAAGCAGCAAACATTAGTTACATGGTCACATTACGGTAGTATTAATAATAAGGCATACTGCGAGTACATACGTCTCAAACTTGAGCAACCCTTCCGAGATAAAATCGAAGACGGTCTTCCACGTTGAGACAACTGCATGCTCAGACTCGCCAAATGTTCCTGTAATAATTTTGTCCACTCTAACGAATATAAAATTCAAAGCTAGATGCAATCGATAAAAGTGTACGAAAGAATGAGGCGATGACAGATAGATATAAAACTTACAGGAATCGGACAACGTCTAGAGCAATCTTGAGCAAAGGATGCACTTGTTCTCCCCGCCGCACCTTGCCTACACGTTCGGCATCCATAATGCTGATCTCATCACGAAGATATTGTATACCATATTTAGTGAGAATTTCCTTTAGCATTTGGAGCGGGTCTCTGATGCTGTCATCAGGATGCACTCTGGGTGCTGCTCTCTCGATGTCGTTGATCAGACGCGTGCCGAACATGTCTTTGATATTGGCAGCCCGAAGATTGATCACGCCTGACAGCGCCACCAGAAGATCCTTCTCGTGCTGGAGGGCAGTTTTAGTGTCCTCGAGATGGGCACGGATATAGGTGTATAGCACCTTGCGCGTCAGGCATAAACCATCTCCAGAGGGCATTGGTGTGTCTGACCGGCCATGGCGCAGAATCTCATGCATGATCTTCATAAGCGAACCCCAAGGCTCGCAGAAGGACGAGGACGACGCAACTTCCAGAGTCTCGGTCCTAGCTCGCTTCCGGACAAGTTCCTCTGACTGGCTGATCGTTGAGGGCCTCTCCTTTGTGATGTCTTTGACAAGTTCGTCCTCGGCATGGACTATCAGGGCGGCAGCACTCGCAAAGGAGTTTGCCCGTAATTTTTCCTAGATGTATCAAAAAAAAAAAAAAAAAAAAAAAAAAAAAAAAGAATAAATGAACTTAAGCCTCGGGCAACACGAATATCATAGGTACGCTTTTATAACCTACTTTTGCATTTTCGGCGGCTTGAACAGCAGCTCGTTGTTTCTTCAAACAAGTTTGGATTTGGAAGTCTGGCAACTGTGGCAGTCATTGGCTGATTAATCATTGTAATCTATATAACTATATAAAGCGTTTGTATGAATAGCAAGTAACATACCGTAACCGTGCTGAGAAGCTCAAGAGCAGTTCTTTTTTCAAGATCTCCAGCCTCTGGTGTGCCATGAATCTGACGCAAAAAGTCTCGAAAAGCTCTGTAATGGGCCTTGGCATCACTCTTTGGGCGGTTATTGATGAAATTCCCAATATCATTCCATTGAGAAGGGCCTTGTCGGAAGTGTGCGGGTAAGCGATCCATGCCGTGTTTGTGTTTGTGTGTCAATGTGTGAAGAGAAATGCATAAAGTGATGTCAAAGCCTAATAGAGTGAGAAGCTCGTGTCACGCGATTATATAAAATGTGGCGTTATTCTCCCGGGCCATGAGGATTTAGAATCAACACCATTTCGTTGCCATCACAGATTGTAACTCAAGGACGCTTGAAAGGTAAGAGGTAACTCTGTCAAGTATGATGGACGCTGCAACCTGGCATACGGGTGAAAGTGAATAGGCCCGAACCCTTAGATGGGAACCGGTGTTCTTGACACGCTTGTTTCTCGGGACAGCGTGAATAAGGACTAGGGAGACCTGCAGGTTTTTTTGTATAGCCTAAGGCCCGATCCTGATAAAACACTTTCTCTGCTCAGGTAGCGAGATTGATGAAAGGTCTGAACCCTTAGATGGGAACCGGCGTCTCTGACACTACAGTGATGCAGTGGACCAGTGACTTAACCTGCTGATGGATTGCAACACAGCAGCTCAAAAACATCAAAAGTCCATTTCTACTTGCCTACATTCATTGCGAGGTGTTGTTTGCGTTGCAACTTGGCGTACGGGGGAAAGTGAATAGGCCCGAACCCTTAGATGGGAACCGGTGTTCTTGACACGCTTGTTTCTCGGGACAGCGTGAATAAGGACTAGGGAGACCTGCAGGTTTTTTGTATAGCCTAAGGCCCGATCCTGATAAAACACTTTCTCTGCTCAGGTAGCGAGATTGATGAAAGGTCTGAACCCTTAGATGGGAACCGGCGTCTCTGACACTGCAGTGATGCAGTGGACCAGTGACTTAATCTGCTGATGGATTGCAACACAGCAGCTCAAAAACATCGAGAGTCGATAACACTTTCTAGATGAGAAGTTATCCCAACTGAATACTTCAGTTTCTGATTGAGTGTTACCTGCTTGTTAATTGTCCTTTGAGATTGAAATGAGACATTAACTCCTTTTTTATTTTCTGTCTAAGGTTATACAAGTCTCTTCATAACTCGCGTTCTAGATGGTAGCCACTGTAATTCAAGACGGTTTTACAAGAAGTTTATTTCATCGAGTTTTCATATCCTTCTAGCTAATAAAACATCACTTTTCAAAGACTTGTTGACATTTGGGTATATGGTGTCTCTATTTATCATAGCAATACCTAGCGATTATTAGCGACTTATAATTTCCATAGACATTTCTAGTTATTCGGGAAGCCAGGTTGATCGACTAAGGCTTAGGTGCATGGTTTTCCTTGTGGTACAAAAAAAAAATCAATCTCAAATATTCGGTTAGGATAGCTTCTTGTCTAGATTTTAATATCGGCTCCCGATGTTTTTGATCTTGTGTATTGCAATTCATCAGCAAGCTAAGTCACTGGTCCACTGTATCGCTGCAGTGTCAGAGACGCCGGTTCCCATCTAAAGGTTCTAGCCTATTCACTTTCTCATGCACCAAACTACAGCATCCATCATGCTCGACAAAGTTCCCTCGTATCTTTTCAAATGCCTCCGGATTACAATCTGTCATGGTATGAAGTTACGAGGTCTATATGATTAGAGTCCTAATGCTGTATTCGGTGATTTTCGACAGTGCACTTTTTCACTAGTGTACCAAAGTCTAGCTATTCCTTTCACCGGTGGACTTGTATTACTGGTCTACAAGTAGGGGTATGATGTAGCCTAATACAAAAATATCCCAGTGTGCTCTTGGTACACCATACCAAAACCACCGACGATGAGGATTTTCTGAGTGGTGGTGCGCTGCACCGAAAAAAAAAAAAAAAAAAAAAAAAAAAAAAAAACTCTCTGGTGCAAGATCCACTAGACCGGTGGAAACCAAAGAGCGGCAAGTTGATCAGGCCTTTAATAGTTGGCCCATGCAGGTTTGATCCATAGTGGCTAGGCATCACGGCGTCAAGATAAGTTGACAGGGGTTCTCATAGCTGACCATTCGTGTGGCTGTTTTTAGTGTTCCAGTTTAATTTGGCGTGTGGCGGAGCATCAAGTCTAGAGTCCTCGCCAAAAAGTCACGAACTGCATTGAGAAAAACTATATTTTTTAAGTAGAATGAATGAATTGGATGCCGTGGCCACCAAAATCGTAGTTTTTTTATTAAAAATATTAGAATTTGCTAAGATGAACAGCAATTTTCGATCTCACTCGGCCTCATTCTCTCTCACCTTCATTGTCAACCTCATTCTCATTCTTCAAATAGCAAAATGTCCTCAACTTTTGATAATAATAGCCCACCTTCATATTCAATGGCCTGTGGCTGAAAACGCTTCCATAGAATAAATTTTGACTTTGTACGTATCCAAAAGTGGAAGTATTTTATTCAATTTAAAAGCGAGGACTCTATGAGCGAATGTGATACGAAGCTAGGAAATATAAAGTCTTTCTTACCCTTTACTAAATGCCAAGTAAAATTAGTGAGAAAAGCCTTTTTTCGTTAAAGATAGAGATCTGGGCTTGGTGGTTTTTGTATTTTTTGTATGTGCTACAACTTTGGGGAAATATACTAAGCCCATAGTCATTTTGTTTAATGCAAATGCCAAGAGAATGAATGATTACCGGGGATTAGGCTGTAACTGACTGTGGCTGTAACTTCAGTATTCAATGACGTCTATTGAACAGTTTTTTTTTTTTTTTTTGTTTTTTTTTGGCTGTTGCCATGAGCAATCCTTACGCCGTAGAATGTGGGATAAATGTATGGGGAGAAAGAAAGGAATAGCCATACCCTATTTTTCTATAAAAAAGAGTTTTTTTTTCATCATCACATCGTTTCTCAAACTACAACAACACCAAAATAACCTCGCTTCACCTCAATCGCACCCCTTTCAGCTGGACCATATACTTCTTTTCTTTTTCCTGAACAAAGCAATGCACGCCTTCTCTTTCGTTTCTACCACCGCTCTTGCTTTCCTGGCGACTCTATTACTGCTGGCGACTACCCCAGCGTCTGTCAAGGCGGACTGTGTCCTTGAGTGTACTGAAATTGTTTTCAATATCGGTTTCTGTGGTTCTCTCAGTGATTTGGGAGATCGCGATGCTGCTGATATGCCTCCCGTAGGCGCCGGCAACACAGACCGCGACAAATGTCTTTGCAAACAGGATATTGCTAGACTCTATCGTAAGTTGTCCTCTTTGCTTTTTTTTTTTTTTTTTTTTTTTACTTTATTCTAAATTGACATCCAACGCAACGCGTCAATTTTTTTTTTACTATGATCATTAGGCAAGTGCCAACTCTGCAGAGATCCTTTAAATGCCAATGCTCAAGTTGACAAGTTTGTGGCTGCATGTAATCTCCAAGATCCCTCTCGTCATCTTGTCAATGGCGCAAGTAGCCCCAACAAGATTTCATTTGGTACATTCGTAAGGTCTGGACTCTTGGTCAGCGGTCTCGCATACATTGTAGCTTAAAAAAAAAAAATACAGTGATCACCTTTAATTAGTAGGCATTTTAATATTTGCTATAGATAGAAATTTAAAAAATAAGAAAAAAAATTGTGCGAGCAGAATAAGCGAAAGATTGAATGGATGGATTGCAATAGCTTCTTTATTCAACCAGTTTGTGCAGCTGAAAATGGGTATTATTGATAGATTCAAGCGCACGCAGCAAACATATTTTGAGCTCTGGACTCATATCCTTGTTTACTAAATCCCAAGGCAGAAGTCTTGATGAATGAGACGTAGTCGCGAGCTTGTCCGCTGCTTCATTCCCCTCAACCCCACTATGCCCAGGTATCCATGCCGCCACAACCATTCGCCCTTGTTGAGCATAGGCAGTTTGAACAAGTTTCCACCATTCAGCATTTGGCCGTGATGGCTTACTGGGGATGGTATTGGATTGAATATGATTAACAAACCCATGGACAACCGATAAGGCGTCAATGAATATTGCTGCTGGTTGATACCTTGGACAACACAATATAGCGGCTAAAAAGCCCACGATTTCAGCCTTTGATGAGGGTCCCCTGCTATCGTTGATATCCTGAACTGTCCCATAAACGGCAGGCCTGTAAATGCCATCTTCATCCAAAAAAGTAACACCAAAGCTTACACGAGCCCGGGCGCTGTAGTGGGGAGAATAGGACCCATCAGAGTATAGACAGCGTGCTCCGCTTCGTCGCCTCAAAGCCTGTCTTGCGGCTCTAATCATTTTTTGTGTCTCAGTATCAAAAATAAGGCCCGGCAGGTCTGTATCGTTGTCTAACGAGCTCAAGCTGAGGGTACTGAAGTCATCATGGATTTTATCTTCAGTTTCACCAATCGTGAGGATTCTGGACTTTTCAGCCTTGGTAGGACGTGTATGACCAAACTCTTTACGACGCTGCTTTTCAGCAGTAATCACGCGATTTGCCCATGGAGGATAATCTTGAGTTGAGAGGCTTTGAAGATCCTTGAGCACCAAAATCTGACTATAAAATGTTCCTATGACACTGCGATTTGGTGTACAATGTGAATGATATGTTGTTGTCATAGTGATAAAGTTTTATTTGTCAAGAAAATGGTTAACAGATTAACATGCTACATTTGTTCATTTCGATTCCTACTTTAATCACATGAGCATGGATTGGCATCAAAGCGTTGTAGCTCCTCATCATAACTAGTGTGACAAAAAACCACACGGATATTCTTATTCGTTGTTACACAGACTCAAATCATGCAATTTATTTATTTATTTTGATGCTTTGTACAAACAGGATTGTGTTGCTTTGTTGCTTTCTTTTTTTCTTATTTCTTTAGTCAATGTCCATATCCTTGGTGTCATCCTCCTTGGTCTCTGGGGTGTTCTTGGTCTCTGGGGTGGATGGCGTTGATGCTTCTGCAGGGGGAGTATCCACAACAACAGGCTTGGGCTTTGGCTTGTTAAGGATAGGTGTAGCAAAGTAGATAAGGTCATCACGTTGCTTACGGATCTCAGCTGAGGTCACAACGGGTTCTTCATACTTCTTCAACATTGACTGGCGCTCTTCTTTGTTCTCAATCCATGTCTGTGCCTTCGAACACTTCTCAACAATGCTGTTCTTCTCGGCTTCAGGAATGTGGGCATACTTTTCCTCTGTGCTAGTGGCCTGAGCCAAGAGATTGTTGATGGTCTCGCGAAGTTCACGGCCTGCAAGAGGACGAGCCTCTGCCTCGCGATAACGATGAATGACAGGATTGCCGACCACCTGGAGCTCCTTCAACTTGTCGAAGTAGACAGACTTGGTGGTCTCCTCACCCTCATCATAGAGCCAATTCTCGGCATCATTCAAGTCCTGGATAAACTTATCCTTATCGGCAGGGTTGATATAATCTTTGTAGGCACCTCCACTGACCTTGGAGCGGGTATCATAGATGAACTCCTCCAAAGTGTTCTTAGCCATCTCGGTATCGACTACCAACTTGTCAGAGGCAATCATCTCATTTTCCTTCTCTCTCAGCTCGTTGATGATGGAGCGATCGAGGCTGGAAGTGGCGCTGACAACGGGTAGATCTCCCTTCTTGACCAACTTCTTGACCTTGCGAGTCAAAGGTGCATCGGGATTCTCCTCAGCGTTAGCATTTTCCTCAATCAGTTCGTCCTTAAGGACTTCCTCAACAACATATGCACTTTCAACACTCAAGATACCATGGATGTTGACTCTAGCCTTGACCTTGACGCAGGCAGCTTCACCATTAACTGGCTCAACCTTCTTGATAGAGAAGCGACCGATCCATGGGTTGATGCCTGCAGGAATGTCCTGTGGCTCAGCATAGTGTGCCTCAAGATCAAATGGCTCTGAACGGTAGAAAGTCAAGACCTTTGTTGAGGGGATGGAGTTATTCTTGTTGAACACAACCAGTTCAGTTTCATCCTCCTCAGGAGTAGGCTGCCAAGTGATCTTGATAGGATAACTGGTGATATCCTGAACAGTAAAGTCGCGGACCTTGAACGAGGGCGACAGAATGGCGCACTGAAGAGCAGCACCACGAGCAACAGCCTCGTCTTGGTTGAGGGTCGAAGAGAGCTCCTTGCCAAAGAAAGCTTGGATACGTTCCTTCAGGGCAGGAATACGAATACTGCCTCCGACCATCTCGACAGCATCAATATCCTCGATCTTCAATCCAGACTCATCCAGAGCTTTCTTGAGGGGAGCTTCACAACGTGAGATCAAATCCTTTGCTAGCTCCTCAAATTCGGAACGCTTCATCATCGAGGAAACATCGCGATCCTCCATGATAGACTCAATATTCAAAGGAGCCTCGGAATTAGCGGAAAGAACCTTCTTGAGCTTCTCACACCCAGCCATTAAACGGATTATGGCCTTGCCGTTCGACTTGACATCAATGCCATATTTGGTCTTGAATTGATCAGCAAAGTGATTCACAAGCAGACGGTCAAAGTCACGGCCTCCAAAATGTCTGTCAAAAGCACGGGCTTTGATAGTAAGTTGACCCTTAATGAACGAGACAATGGAGACAGTGTATGAAGAATGACCGACATCGACAAAGCAGATATTGCGAGGCTTCTCCTCGGGAAGGTCGGTCTTGGTAATACCATAGCCGAGGGCAATGGCAGTGGAATCGTTGATTAGACGAAGGACATTCAATCCCGCAATTTCAGATGCATCTAATACAGCGCGGCGCTGAACATCTGTGAACCAGGAAGGGATGGCGATGACACAGTCGGAGACTGGCAATTTGGTCTCAACTGTAGCGATCTCTTTCATCTTGGTAAGGTACATGGCATAGATCTGGACCACAGTAAAGGTGGTTTCCTGTCCTTGATAGTTGACCTTGACACCAAGCTGACCATTGATATCGACCAAAGGAACAGTCAAGTATTGCTTCTCGATCTCCTGAATTTCCTTGTCTGCAAAGGTACGTCCGATAATACGCTTCAAGCACGAGACAGTGTTCTTGAAGTTGGAAATCTCCTGTGTCTTGGCGGTCTCGCCGAGATAGCGCTGCTTAGGACCAAATGAGACCAGTGACTGAGAGAGAGATAGAAGTTACAGAGCAAAAAATATTAACAATGGTTAGATCCTATTTATATTGGTAGCTTAAGATGGACACAATGGTAATAAAAGGTGTCATTTTTCTCCTTTATCTCTTGTTGCTTTGCCTCTCTCCAGGGGAAGGCTGCCAAAAAGAAAAGAAGATCATAAAAGTACGCTTATTCCTTTTGAAGTGAGATCTAAACATATAATCTAGTGTCAAAATACTTACTGGTGTGAAGCGGTTTGAAACCTCATTGCAAATAACATCAATGCCACGGTTTCTTGCGACAGCAATAATTGTCTGCAAGTTTCCGAGATCAATACCTAGCAATCATAAATATGTAACGGATCAGTTATTGTCGAACAAACATCCCTGCATAAAACAATTGAGTGAAGTAAAGAAAAAAGAGACAGGAGAGGCGGAAAGAAATGCCAAAATCATAGCTATCCATAATAAAGCTGGCTAACAGAAGGAAAAAATAAAAAAATAAAAAAGTTTCTTCTTTCTTCCTTGGAGCGATCTATGCGCAATTACTGTGATAACGTTTTTTTTTTTTTTTTTTTTTTTTTTTGTATAACTATCCGTTTAAATACATACCGACGACGGACATATTTATGTATTAATGTGACGGTGTGGTGTATGTGGGTAGTATACAGATGGGAATGATGAGATGATGCTAGATGTGAAATGAAGATGAACAATGCAAAGAAAAAAAAAGAAAAAAAGAACTCGATCGAGGGGTTTTTAAAAAGTTTAGAAAAAAAAGTTTAGGTGAAATGGCTCCTTTCTACAGATAGCTCCCTCTAATTGCAAATGGCTCCCGCACGCATTTTCTGAATGTGACGTCTTGTTCTTTGTGCTTCTAAAGAGTTCCTTTATGTTCCATGCGGGCGCATAACTGCACATCAAGCTAGAAGTTGAGTACAAAAAATGTGATCTGCAAAAAAAAAACCTTCCCCGTCTATCAAAGCCTGAACTGTAAAACAATAAGCTTTTGATCTCTGCTCTGTGCCCATTAAAGCCTGAGGAAAGAGACAGCAATATACTAAAACAGAACAACTCGAATAAAACTGAAAAAAAAAGATGGAAGGGTTGCTTTTTTATCTTTATCTTTCTACGACACTCTATATCCTTTAAGACCAAGTTTTCTGTTGAACCTGAAGAACAATAAAATAAAGAGTTTAGTCCTTGTAATAGATGTAATAGATCAACTGTGTGACCCACATGCAAGGGTAATTTTTTTGTCGATCTCAGTTGTGAGCTTTTTTAATGGATTTTGGACCACATCTTTATTTGCTTATAGTAAACTGTCAGGTGAAAAAAATAAAATAAAAAAGCAAATAGCATGCCAACATGCTTATATGCCGTCATTTCAAGTTTGCCTCTCATCTAAATTGCCACCAGTCCATATGGTGGCTGCAGGGAAAGATAAGGCGCTGTTCGAGGAAATTGATCTTGAGTTTGATTAGATCCCATGGGCGTAAATAATGAACAAGCGAACATTATACTAAACCTTTCCTGGATTGGATGCACAGAGGTTGATATGTGCTGAATAAGGAATCGAAGCCACATGCATGGCTGCCAATAGAAAGCTTTATTCAGAACCTTCTACTCGTTCCTTATGCTCTCATTGTAGGCTTGTTTCTTGGAATGACCCTCGAGAAGCTTAGGACCCTGACTTACTATAAATACTGAAGAGTGAAGAATCATTAGAGACTCTACAAATATGCTTCTAGTTTGTCATATTATTGCTATCCTCCATGGTTTTGTAACAAGCATTTCATCAACTGATGTGGACGAGTGTGAAGTCAATTAACATTAAAGAGAGTATTGTAGAAAAGCCTCGCCCATGTTCATAACACCAGATTTCCTTACTTACTTTCCACCTCTGGTGCTGCGAATCCCAAGGTTCTGCTAACCATTCTTTTCACCGTAACCTGCAAAAGCAAAAGAGAATACTGTCGAGCCCATAAAGCCTAGCGCCTTCTATCCTTGGTGCAATACATTGAGCATTAGAAGCCACGCTCTTTACGGGACAAGTCATTACGCGCCTCGCATCCAATCCTTATTGTCTTGTGCATCTCTTTTATCATTTTGCTGCAGTTTTTCCCTTGTTCGCCTTTCAATCTTTTTCACATTCTTGTACGTATTGTATGTGGAATATACATGAGTATTATAGCTCTTGTTGTGGAGAGGTTCATCATGGATGTGATCGAGTGCAGAAAGCCTTTAAAACTAGAAGTATCACATCAGTCCTTTCTTTAGTATTTTTTTAACGCTTACGGTATCATTAGGGCTTCATTCAATATGCATTCTTCTTCTTGATATCCATCCCACTCTTATTCGGGCTTTGTATCATACAATGAACTAGCATTTAGTTGTAACAATTGCACGACTAATTAATACCCGGGAGAACAATGAAATGACTTGTTGCTTCTAAGGTTTTTCATTACTGACTCCACAATCTCCTGAGACTGGTGTTTGCCGCCTTGGTTTCAAACACAGAAATACTATTTGGCAATCCTTGTTCTGATAGTTTTTATACTGGATTGAATTGAAATAAAGGTAGGCTTTGCGGTTCTATACATAGGTGTTGTGGAGGATAAAGGGCTATTCTGGCCTCTGGCGGTCAATCTTGGTCTTTTGCAGGCCCAACTCTCCACTGACCAAACAATATCGCTTAGTTTTTGATGCTAAGAGATGTCTGAGTAGTAAATGAGTATACAGTGCTACATATACTACTAGGGTAACTTACATTCTTGTAGCACCAGCAGTCGGAAGCAACTGAATATGTGTACCCACTTGGCAACGTACCCCAATTCGGAAAATGAACTGTTCCAGTTATCCAAGTCGGTTTGGGTACATCTACATAGTGCAGTAGGATAGACAAGAACTACTAATAGGCTTAAGGTCAGCAGCATTAAAACTGCCGATAGCAACAACCTTAAGATATTACAGGTACCCGACCATGTTGGTCGGTTTGAGCGATCACTGAATTCAGTTCATTTTTCGAGACCTGCAGCTGTTCTCGCCGACTGGATGTTTTCAATTTTTTGAGATCCGAGCTTGGCCTCATTGCTATGATCTCATCTTTGAGATATTCAGTATCTTCTGGCGGAGTTTACACATCCTCGTCTGCACAGGGTATTGATCTGAGCTCCTTGAAGTTTCCCACACCACCATCTATGGCACTAGCCAGACTAGATAGCATAGCTGTATGTATGATTGATGATGCCAATTAAAAAAAAGAAATGAATAATGAGGTACGCGTTCAATAAAGGAGTGGTATGACGCGAAATCCCACGTGAAAAGTTGTTTATCTTGGTATCCTGGGTAAACAGCTCATGGATGCTGATAATAGGTGGAGTAGAGGCGGTTGTAATGAAATGGATAGCATGGTGCTTCAGTCCTTCTTTGAACAAGAAAGTACACGGCGCAAAAAAATTGTGTCGTTCCTCTGAACTTATTGGAATAAACGCGAGGAAAGTATTATCTTCAATCCCTTTCTTTTATTTTCTCCGTACATTAATTAACAGCTTGAAAAAGCTTCCATGCCCAAAAGCTTAGATACCAAGGGCAAAATCACCACCTTTGAGATGCACTCCGCAGGTATGGAAGCGGTGTACCCAGATAAGCAATCACCAGTTGCAGAGTATTATCAAGATATTTCAAGAATAGGGGGCTCCGACTCCAGGTGCTGAATTAATGGAATGTCAGGAGTTACTCTTAAAGGTATCACCAACCAACTGCCGATAAAATAAGTGAAAGAGAATAGCTGCTGAGGCTCTGCATTAGGAGGTCAAGGATGCTTAATGAACTACGTCCGCATTTGTCTAGTCCAATAATGAAGACCTTTTTATACTAACTCTATGAAGATGCAGTGCCGTGAGCATGTCCTTTTGCATCATCTAAAAGTAGTGTCAATAAATAAAGCCTTTGTTAATTAAAAGAACATAGGTGCAGAAACACGTCCTGTCTTTGGATACAACAACGACTTCTGATTCCAACGCCGGTTTATTGTCTTCGACGAAGGAAACAGCCAGTGCATTTCCTTGTCCGGACTTCGAGATTCATGATGGGAACTTGTTGTTTCTGAATATACTGAACCTTCTGTATTTTCAGGTTGGAACACTGCCTGAAATACTAAAGATAATGGTATACCAAAAACTCAAACATGAGATGGTTTATCGCCCGTCTGGTGTTGGTCCCCCATGCTACAAATCCCTCTGAAGACCAGGAGTTCAATAACTGAACTCTAATGAATATCTTATCTCGTTTTTTATCTTGCTTATGTAGTATATAATTAGATGCTTGCTGTTCTTCCTAGAGGCTTGTCCAATCGTCTTAAAAATCATGCTGTTAGTCTTTCTTGCCAAATTCGACTTGATCTAGAAGTGCTTGTTCCCTAGAGTCTTACTGAGTGCCTCAACAATATCGGCCAGAGGCGTTTGAATCTTAAGGCCCGCTGATTTAATTAGACTATATGTCATTTCGACCTGCTCACATACCCGTTGTGATAGATGGCTTTAGTCATTTTGTCAAAAGACTCGATATGTCAACGGAGCGTCCTCTCGCGGCCTTAAGATAATTCCAGCTGCATAAAGGGCTTTTCAACTGTCCCATTATCATTTCTCGCGTTGATTTGTGAATGCGAGTGAAAGAAAATGGTTGACTCTATGTAGCTGCACGTGACTTAATCCAGACCAGCCAAAAAGTGATTGATTATTAAGGGCGCACATGCATTCACGGAAACAAAAAAGAGGGGACAGAGTCCACTTCTAATTCTTCAACTATATTTCCTTGTCTTCTTTTGTGTTCCATTCTTTCTTGTCGTGTGCTGCACCATTCAGTCAAGATGTCATTCCCCTTGTAAAGCAATACGTTGCTCGTGAAAGGAGGCGAATTTTCAACTATTTGTTTTGTTAATTCGCTACATTCTTCCATCGACGCAGTTCATAGTAAAACTTTTTTTTTTTTTGTTATTTTTTTTTACTTTTATTTTTATTTTTTTCCCCATAAAACCTACTCGTAAAAAGACATTGTTAATACAACTACAGTTATTACTCTGAGTCTGTGATAAAACACTCAGAGTGCAATCATTGGTTTTTGCTTTACTTTTTTCCTCCCTTTTTCACATTTGTATTTCCTGCCAAAGCCATGGCTGGTATGAGCCAAGATGAACTCTTCGAACTACAACAGAACGAATTGGAGGCTCTTCGTGGTAAATAAAGGAAAACGAAAAGAATACATAAAATGCAGGAATGTTGGTCGAAGAACTGTTGTTGATATTCTCCTTTTTTTCACTCTCAATGGTTTAATATTAGCTATTTATATGGAAGATTATCAACCTATCACAATCCCATCAGCATGGAAGGTACCTTCATAGAGACAATCTCTCTCTCTCTCTCTTTTTTTTTTTTTTTTTTTTTTTTAGTATCTACAACTAACCACCTTATCATTTCTCCGAATTTTATTCTTTTCAAGCTGGTCCCAACAACGCCTGAATTTCGACTCCATCTATTACCGCAGGAAGAAGACTTGAAACGATATGTGTCAGTGGACTTGCGTGTCAAGTAAGTTCGTACAACAACACCGCCAACGCCATCTGCTCTTCCTTGGTCACGGCGTGGCTGACATTTCATGACACGGACTTTTTTTTATTGTGCTCCCAAACATTCATTTTTAGGTTCACTAGAACATACCCAAAAACTATACCGGATCTAAAGATCGAAAACCCAAGAGGATTGTCAGCCTCGCAGGTTCAGGAGCTATCAAAACTTATTCTAACACATGCAAAGGCACTAGTTGGGCAGGAGATGATGTATGAAGTCGCTTCGTATGTTCAAGAATACATTACCGCCAACAATGCGAGTCTTTTTACAAAACACCAAAGTTTCTACGACCAAATGCTTCAACGCGTGGAACAAACCACAAAGGATGAGAAGGAAAGAGCCATTGAGGCCATGACCAAGCAGCAGAAGCTAGAAATGGAGGCCAGGATACATGCAGACCTAACATTGGACCAAAAGATTCGGGAAGATCTCATGCGTAAAGAAGAAAAGATTAAGGAAGAGAAGAAACGCCAAAAGGAATTGAAGAACAAACAGCAGGAACAATTTGGAGGAGGCGACTATCTTGATGGTCATGGTAGAAATGGCAGCGGCGGAGGATCTGGATATGGCATGGATACTGTCAGTGTCCATTTTGATGTGCCCATTATCATGTCACCAGACGACTCTCAGGTAAAAAAAAGGAGAATCAGTAGCTCGTTTTTATTTTGTTGTCTCGCCATCAACTCAGGCACAGTTTTCTGATGCGGCCTTCCAAAAAAAAAAAAAAAAAAAAAAAAATAGGCTCCAGCATTTCGCTCTGTGATCAGGGGAGCGTGTCTTTCGCGCGGTCTACTTAGCTCGACCTACTCTGCGATCCCGACAAATTATATATCCAGGCCGCACTCCACTTCCGACGTTCCTTTCTTGCTTCTAAAAACATTCGATATCACAACAGCACATTATTGTACACACCTTGGGAAGAAGAAGCTACAGGATGTTGAGAAGGAGCTTTCTAGATTAAAACTGCTCCGGCATCATCATCTTGTGTCCATTTTGGAATCACGTCTTGAAAGAACAAATAGTGGCTGGAATTTGCATGTCCTTACCGATGGGAGTTCGGCCAACATGACCTCACTAGAATCATTTGTCAACATTGCAGGTGGTATTAAATTGAACACTGCAAGGAAGTACCTCAAAGAACTCTTACAGGCTGTCAGTTATCTTCACTCTAACAACGTCATTCACAAGGGTAATACAAAAAGAAAGTAATCGGAAGTTACCTATATTCAGAAAACATATTTAAAAGCTGCAAACTTATTTTTATTTTTATTTTTACCTTTTTTTATGTGCTTAGACATCAGATTGTCCAACATTGTATTGGACCCGAATGGAAGCATCAAACTGGACAACGCTAGCTATCACCGCCGACTCTTGGATATGCACAAAACATTCAGTTTCAATTCAGACAGTGGCCAGGAAGTTTCTAGAGCTTGGTCCTCACCCGATCCGGAGGAGGCATCGATCGTATATACTAGAAAGCATGATATCTGGTGCCTTGGTCAGGTATTGGTTGAGATGTTGTGGGGTAGTGGGGTCACTCGAACGTTTAAATCACCTTCACAGTTCCTAGAGTCTGTCGACACCTCAATTCCAAAGCTGACAAAAGATATTCTTACGCGCATATTCGAAATGTAAGCGGAGAAAAAAGAGGGCGAGGCAAAAAAGCGTTCAAATTGTGGACTACTAGACGAGAGCTGATCCATTATTGTTATTACGACTCTTTTGACTGTTTTCGCCTTGAAATAGTGATGCCAAGAAGAGACCGAGTGCTGCAGATTTAGTGAATGATCCCTTTCTCGGAGATGCTGCGAGCGACGACGCCGCTCTCGCTCAGTTTCACATGTACCGAGGTTCGACATTACATCCCCTATTAGCAATTTTTATGAACCGTATTTTGTTGGTACTAAGCCCCTCAAGGTCATAGCTAATGTCTTTTCGTTTTGGTTTATTGATGATAGACACTGAAGACGATTCCGGTCTAAGTTGTCTTCGGAGATCCCACCCTCCGTCTACTATCAATCTTCCTTTACCAAGAGTAGGAAGAGAGTCTTCTCGGCTTGATGACATGTATGTAGACGACTCAATCAATCAGCTTAATAGATCACCGTCTACCTCGGGCCGTAATTTGTATTCGCGTTACAGGAGTGATTTTGAGGAAATTGAATTTCTTGGACGAGGCGGTTTTGGAGAGGTGGTCAAAGCGAGAAACAAGCTTGATGGCCGTTTCTATGCGATCAAAAAGATTAAACTCGACCCCAAGGACAATGTCACAAACCGTAAAATTCTTCGTGAAGTCACGACCCTATCAAGGTAGCTGTTTTCTTCTGCTCTGGACTCAGTTAATTAGGCAGCATTTGGAACATGAATAAGCTCATTAAGCTTTTTTTCTTATTTTTATTTTTTATTTTTTATTTTTTATTTTTTATTTTTTAATACATGTCAGATTGCATCATCAATTTGTGGTGCGGTACTACACAACATGGTTTGAGGATGCTAATGGGGCGTCATATAGCGATGGAAAGTCTGACTCAGAAGTTGATTCAGAGGAGGATGATGATGATGACGATGATGACGACGTTGATGATAAATCATACGAAAAATCGAGTCGGGTAGTAAAGGACATGAAATATGATTTCCTATCTGAGGGTGCCAGCAATCGCAACCGAAGCTACCCTAGTATTCATTTCGGCCATCGATCCAGAGATGTGTCAGGTCATACGGAGAGTTCTTTTGGAATGAATGGTTTGGCCCTTGATAGTTCGGAGGAATCGACCTCATCTGAGGAAGAAGACGACTCAGAGTCGGAATCAGAGTCAGAAAGTGATTACGGCTGTGAAGATGATAGTGGATCTGACTCTGATTCGGGCATTCGATTTGAATCTGAAGATGTCACAGATAATACCGCCAGTAACCCACAGACCAAGGACGAAAACAAGGTCATGACCAAAGCTTTAGTGCCAAAGAAGAAGCGTTTACCACCCAAACCCTCGAGAACACTTTACATTCAAATGGAGTATTGCGAAAGACAAACACTAAAGGATCTGATTGATATTGGTGTAGATATTGATGATGGTTGGCGATTGTTTCGACAAATCTTGGAAGGGCTTGTCCACATTCACTCCCAAAACATAATTCACAGAGATTTGAAGCCGGTTAATATTTTCTTGGATGCGAACGGGGATGTGAAGATTGGAGATTTTGGACTGGCAACCAGCAACTCGCAAGTAATCAATGATTTAAAGTCGCAAAGTCATGCTGTGGATGAGACCATCGTGATGAGTCGTAGTGGTAGTTACGACAACAGAGTCCATGATGATGGACTCTCCCTGACCACAGGTGTAGGAACTGTATTTTATGTCAGTCCTGAAGTGTTGATTGGAGGGGCCAATGGTGTCCGGTATAATACCAAGGCGGACATGTATTCTTTAGGAATCATCTTCTTTGAAATGTGTTACCCCTTATCGACTGGAATGGAACGTGCCATGACTCTTCGCAACCTTCAACAACCCGAAATCATTTTTCCCAAGGAGTTCCCAATGGATAAGATGTCAAAGCAGGCACAGGTGATCCGAGCCTTACTGAATCATAACCTGAAGGAGCGACCCAGTTCTCTGGAGCTTCTGCAGAGTGACTTGTTGCCACCAAAGTTGGAAGACGAATACATTCAGGAATGTGTCCGGACAATCGCTAATCCAAATACTCCTTATTATCATCGGTTGATGTCTGCCTTATTTGCACAGAATGCGGACAAACATAAGGATTACACCTATGACTTTAATGCTGAAAACAAGATGTATGACCCGTTTTTCTCTTTGTTTTTCGGCAAAGTCAGGGATCAAATGGTGAATGTCTTTCGATGTCATGGAGCTGTTGAAATGGGAACCCCACTCTTGATGCCCAAAAGCGATCTTCACGACAATGATAAGAAATCAGTAGCATTGATGGATTCAACAGGAGGGCTGGTGCAATTGCCTTATGATCTGACTTTGCCATTTGCCCGATTTATCTGCAGGAATGATATCACTCAATTGAAGCGATTCTGCTTCGGGCGTGTCTATCGTGAAAATACAGTGGGTGGACAGCCTCAGGTGGTACATGAGGTCGACTTTGACATTGTGCATAATACTCATAGCAATCCAATGGTGACAGATGCGGAACTGATCAAAGTCGTGGATGAGTTGTTGGAAGAGTTTCCGCCGTTCAAGGCCACGAACGGAGTGTTTTTCCTGATCAACCATACGATGGTTGTGGAGGCGATCTTTGATAGCTGTCGAATCCCCTCCGAAATTCGAACGGGTGTTTGCACGATTCTAGGTCAACTCGGTCGACAGTACCAGCACATGTCACAGGTTCGGAATCATCTCATGTCTGTTTACCATTTACCACGAAGTGTCCTGGATGAGCTCGAGTTGTTTGATAAGAAGGGGGATCTTGAAGTGGTTGCTAAAGCTTTGGAAGAATTAATCACGGCAGAGCCCATGAAGACGAAACTTCGGGACGCATTGGCAGAGTTGAGACTTTTGACCATGTATTGCAAGAATTTCGGTGTTCGTCATCGGATAGTATTCAATCCGCTTCTCATGTAAGTTTTTTTGTTTTTATTTCTGGAAGTACTAAAGCGGATAAAATCAATGAGAGAATAAAAAAAAAAAAAAAAAAAGAATAAAGGAAAAAAAAAAGAGATATTGGTTTATTGACTAATAGTTTGTTATATTTGTGTTATATAGGTATAATAACCAATATTACAAAGGTGGAATGATGTTCCAGGTAGTCGATGATGCAAAACGAAAGAATATCCTCGCAGCAGGTGGTCGATATGACTCATTGATCCAACAGTTCCGACATCCAGTGGTCGGAGGTCCTCCTCGCAAGGTCTACGCTGTTGGAGTGAATCTAGCAATGCAAAAATTTGTGGGCGCGATCTCACAATATCAATCTGATCACTTCCGTTACTTTATCACTAACAACAGCAGCAAATCTAATCGAAGTCATAGTGGCGATGACGAAGAAAAATCATTTGGATTCTGGGCTCCAAAACGCTGTGATGTTTTTGTGGCCAGTTTTGGAAAAGTTCTACTTCAGGAACGACTAGAGTTGGTGAGAGAACTGTGGGCTCATGGGATCAAAGCAGACTACATGCTTGAAGATGGTACAGACCTGACACCGGAAACATTGACGACCACTTGTAAACATCAGAGTATCAACTGGATTGTGATTCTCAAGAACAAGAATCAACAGCAACAGCAAGATTCATCTCATAATCATCAACGAGGCAGTCGTAGTGACCTTATGAGTATGGTCAAGGTCAAAAATGTACTTCGTAAGACTGAGGATGAAGTGCCACGGTCTGAACTTTGTATCTTGCTCAAAGCTGAGATTGCAGAGCAAACACGATTGGATATACAGATGGCTACGATGATAGGAGCAGGAGGGGTCCTTGGATCGAAAGCAGCGCGTAAACTCGCAGAAAATAATGCTGGACATCATCATCATCATTTTCATCATCATGGATTGGAAACTTCTGCTGGGTCTTTGGGCGCAAGGCATGGACTAGATCATCATAATTCGTCAGGTGAATCAACACAGGTACAGACTGATTTTAATGTCTACGTGGTCAGTTCTAGCTCCATGAAAAACCGGCTAAAACACAAACAGAAGACCATGCTTATTGACAAAGGTAATAAACGATATTTTCGTTTAGATAATACTATTTTAATAGTTTATTTTATTTTATTTTATTTTCTTGACCGATATTAATACCTTTTTTTTTTTTTTTTTTTTTTTTTTTTCGCCATTCGTTGTCGGTTTTATTAGCAATCAATAACCTGGTGGGTGTAACCAAGAATTTGGTGAATGCTACAGTTCCTGTATTAGCGGTGGATCTCTCAAAGGAGAGTCTTCGGAAGTTAGCACATTGCAATGTGGCAGAGGATGATAGTTTCCGTAAGAATGTGTTGGACCAACTTAGCCCATCACAGCGCGAATATTGTTTGATGATCCGAGAGGCTATGCTTAAGCTCCGACAAGAAGATGGAGGACAGAAGCATGTCTGGTTATACTCTCATCGGGATGATTTTTCGATTCTTTATCATTTTTGGTCATAAATAAGGGACAAGGAGGCGATGTAAAAAAAAAAAAAAAAAAAAAAAAAAAAAAAAACTAAAATATTGATCTGTTGCTTTTGTTTATTCTTTTTTCCTTTGTATTTTTTTTTTTTGTTCTTAAAGTAATAAAATAAAAGGCATTGTATTCGTTTTTTTTTATTTTTTATTTTTTATTTTTATTGTACTGTTACATGTGTGCAGAGCTGAATATAAGATGTAAAAAAAAATGCAAACGAACAAGAGAAAAGAGATAAAATAAGAAATAAGAAAAAAAAAAAAATCTAAACATTTGAGCCATTCAATGCAGTGGCGGTCCTTTGCTTGTTTTTGTTTAGTGTACTTGATGCGGTTGTATTGTTGGATTCATCGTCTTCGGTCGTATTATCGGCCTCATCTTCCTCCGCCGCTGCTGCCAGAGCATTTTCATCCAACTCGCCTGTTGCAGCAGCTTCCTTAAGAGCCTCACTCAATGGAGTATTGTGACGGTACTTGTAGAATTGGAAGAAGATTGTAAAATCAAAGACTAACGTACCGCCCGAGCCCAGAACCCAGGGCAGGTTCCTGATCAAGTAATCAAGCTCGATTGAGAACAAGAAGATGGACGCCACATACAAGACATTGCCAAAGACTGAGAACACAAACATCATAATCGACAATCCCTCACACGACTTTAGACGCCAGTTCTTGTAAATCTGAGGAATACGTGATCCAAGGTATAACAATGCACTTCCCCAACCCAACAACAGAGGAACCCAGATCTGGAAGAGCGTTTTTTCATGTCCTTCTTCATCATGACCACCGTCGATGTTGTTGTTGATCGTTACGAACGATATGGGATCACCGTTATTCTCCTTTGGAGGATGGGAAGGAGGAAGTTTGCCATGTCCACCATTATGACCACGTCCACAGTGAGATCCATCTCCGTCCTCATCACCGAGAGTGCACTGCAGCCAATCATGATACAACCAAATGAGGAGTGCTAATAGTACAAGGGGGAATAGGATTATGATGGCCCTGCGGATCATTTTTCGACGCTTTACTGCTTTGGATCGAAGTTTTCCAGAACCATTGGTTAAAGTTGAATGGGTTGAGGAACGACGTCGAAGATGCTGCTGGTGATGATGGCCGTTAGCTGTATGATCATGACTTTCATTGTAGTGAGATGCAGCGGTATTAGCAGCCATGGCTGCTTGATGAATCATACGATCATGTTCATTTTCATGGACATGTTCTGAAGGAGAAATACTTGAATAGTTTGTGGTTGATCCTCCTCCAATCCCGTTTCCACTTCCAATAAGAGGCGTGTGTTCATGTGACATATTGAGGCTTTCAGAATTAGCATGAGTAATAACAGACTCAAAGCTTCCTTTGACAGAAGTCCTACGGTAGTAGAAAACCTGACTGATCAAAGCAATCTAGAAAGGGAAATATATACATATATTATTATTATCCTGAAGGTCAGAGACACAAGAATGTACTATTACATATTACAGATACATATTACATATTATCGTTTAAGATATGGCGCATATGTCCCTGCCCTACAAGGCCATCAGGAATGAATGAGACTTACATCTGAGATTGTGTAGTACCAAGCGAGAACACGCTATTCACAAAAAAAAAAAAAAAAGGAGAGACAAGGGGGGAAAGATGGGAAGATTGTATAAGCAAACATGAGTTTAGCACGGTTGTACAGAAAAAGTGAACAAAACAGATCATCAAGCAAGTCGACAAAAAAAAAAAAATGTTGTTGTTGATCTCTCCCTGAACTTTGGAGTTGGAAGTAGGGAGGGGGGGGAGAACTTACCATCGTAAGCAGCAGATTGTCCATGGTTGCACCGATCAAGTTCATAATGTCACCAGCCAACCAAATGTAGAGGAATACAAGAGAGAGTGACTCTCCTGACTTGCGCTTGTAGTTGGTCCAGAATTGACTAGAGAGATTAAGAAAGTTGACAAGAGCGGGCAAAAGTTCATGTCAGTGACAGTGTGCTTTTCTTTTTTATTATCTTTTTTTTTTTTGTACTATCCATCCATCATAAGTAACCAGAGCCAGAAAGCAGATGCTTGTTTGTTGCATTGGAAAGGGGTGTAACAAAGATAGGTAAGCATGTCGCATAAACGATACGATCCGATTTTTTACACAAATGTTTTACCCTGCCACAATCACAAAGGAGATCCACATGAATCCAGTAACTATTTTTTTTTTTTTTTGTTCAAAAGAGCGCATTCCTATTATCACTCTCTGTATCCAAACCTGGTCTTTACTTGTGCACATTCTTTCTTCCATTCCAATCCCGGTCAAAATAACGGTAGATCAAAACAAAAGAATAAGGGGGATGGTGGGCTCTCCATCTCTTTTGGGATAAAAAAAAAAAAAAAAAAAACACCAGACAGAGGGACCATTTATACTTGGATCGTTTTTTTTTTTTTTTTTTTTTTACTATCCATTACAATCTGAGCTGGTGCATCTTCCCAATTGTGGATAATGATCATGAAAAAGAAAAGAAAGTATTTGACTTACGGAGTAAAGACGATAAACCAGCAGATAATTGATAAGAAGCCGGCGATGTTGGAAAGATAGATGTTCAAAGGGATCTCATTGTCGTCAGCGTCAGTTGCAGTTGCAGTTGTACCGTGGCTTGCCAGCCAGTAAAGAATAGTGTGTGCAACCATCAGACGAACTCAAGTGAATGAAGGTAATTCAAATGAGAACAATGAGAGGGAAAAAAAACAGAAAAGAGAGAACCAAGTTCGTTGAAGTGGAATGAAAGCAAGAAAAGAAGTGAACAAATGGTCTGACTGACCGTTGTGAGTGCTTGTGTTGGGTATATAAATGATAAGTGAGGGTATATGAACGAGGGTATATGAAAGAAGAAAGATTGTGAGACAGAGCAACAACAGTAATGAAACAAAAAAAAAAAAAAAAAAAAAGAAAAGAAAAGAAAAGAAAAGAAACGCCGCCACTTCTTTTGTTCCTTTTATACTTGATTCTGAAGACTTTTGACCATGACCTTGGCCTTGACCTTAACCAGAGGAACAGTCAATCTGATTCCCATCAACCAAACTTAGAAAAGCATACATGTGCATGTACATGCTTGGGGGCTAAGGGAGACAATAGAGTTCGTCCATCCGTTTCCGTATCTCTAGCTCGCCTCTCCCCCCTGTGGAATCGCGTCTCACAAAAAAAAAAAAGTTTCTTAGTCACTGATTGTCAAAAACTTTATTTCAATCTGCCTTCTATGCAATGCCACATTATGCAATGTCTCAATGTGGACAATTAGAACAGCAATCCTTCATGACTGTCTGAAGCAAGCAACCAAATGCCATTTCTCCATAACTTTTTCTTTCTTTCTTTCTTCCTTTCTTTCGTTCTTTCCCTCCCTTCCTTTCTCTCTTCCTCATCGTCCCCATCTTGACACATACACATGTTCAGTACACATTCATTCTTCTTCTGAATTGCACCAATGTTTTTATAACATTTCTGTACACAAACTTGATAGAGAGCTCTGTTCTCCATTTTCTATCATACACATGTAGCATTGCACCCTTAAATTGTATTCACTTGCTCACTTGCTGCATATTAATGGATAATAACCATTCCGTGTCACCTGTTTGACTTGAGGAACTACTACCCATTGACCTCCTCTAGTCGTAGTACAGAATTTTATCTGCTGATTCAGCCAATTATCAAAGCATCGCGTGAGGTATTCAGTGATGAGCTACAGGTTTACAAGAGCCAACATGTCAAATCAGATAATTTCAGCTGTAGCTTATTCTTTGCTTCACCCAACTTTTCTTTTATTTCCCTCTCTTCTTTTGCAAACTTGGAGGAACGAACGTCTTTCCTCGAAAAAATGTATATTTGTAATGCCTTCATTCGAAAGGTGGACAGACCTCATAGTACATTCTCTCTTAAAGTAAACATAAATGTAGTAGTGAGCGTGAAGCCATCCTTTTTTTTTTTTATCTTCGCAATGAACTAAAAGATGGCTACATGCCAAAACTGCAATGGTTTATTTGAGGAGGCCTAAGTTTATCTTATTCTACCAGAAGAGAGAAGAGAGGGGATGAGCAGAAAAGGTTGATGATGGTCATAATATTTATGGAATTAAAGTGTTCAAAGAAACTAAGAAACTTGACTATACTGCCGCAGCATGGAGTACATACTGATCAATTGCAGACATTTCCCCCCCCTTTTTTTTTTTGATTGAAAATGGAGATGTGTGCAATGTCGCGTGGTTTAAAGGGCCGTTGTGAAAAGCATCAAAAGATCGTCCACTGGCGATGTCAGCCAATTATCAGTTGTTACATTGCAGAAAAAACGCCATCAATGATGACTTGCAGATAAACAAAACAAAACAAAAAAAAAAAAAAAAAAAAAAGATGCAATGCATTCCATTGCTTGCAATGTTCTTTAGATGGAAAGAAACTTTTAGATGTTTTCTTTGCTGTGGATCTACCCTTTGCTTTTTATATTGGCATGAAATGGTGCCTAGATGACATGTGGATATCTAGAGGCGAGTTTTTTTTTTTTTTTTTTTTTTATTTTTTCTTTACTGCATTCGGATTATTTGATCTTCTGATCAAGATTTGTGAAAAGGAGGTTGTCCCTGAAAAAACATTGCTGCCTGGGCTTTGTGGACAAGAACAGACCACCTGCCTAAATGTCTACATGTCTAGAGCATCTGTATCTGTCAGACTGCATTTGGATTGATTGACAATTTCGTCCATCGCGTGCAACACTGCTTTTCCACAGCTCCAAAGTATAAAACTGTTTGCATCTGTGGGGTAGAATTCGACTCAATTTATCCGATCAAATCAAACAAAAGATTCTTTTTCCCCTCAATTATTACCATCTATGTTGTCAATGTGCACAATTGCCTCTCTCTCTTTCTCTTTATCTCTCTCTCTCCCCTCTCTCTCTCCTCTTTCTCTTTTTCTCTTTCTTTCATTCTTATTCTTTCGCTCACACACATTCTCTACATCACACATCCTTGTTTCCTTCATTCACCCTATCTTCTTTTCTCTCCCGTGAAGACATCTTTCTTTTCCACACCTTAGCCATTTTTTTTTTTTTTTTTTTTTTTTTCCTTGTTACTATTATTTATTTTCATTTTTTGTCTTGGTCTGCTTGTATAGTCCCTTGTCTCAACACAATATCCACAAACCATAATTCATATCCAATGCCATCGCTACTATTAGCAGTACCGCTCCGAAAAACGTGGTACGGAGTCCACTACTGGAAGACCCCTTCCATCATGGATTTACCTATAGAACTCGAGGTACCCCCCTTAAACCATCATTATTCCTTCAAAAGCACCCTCTTAATTGCATTCCACACTCACGTCGACGAAGAAACATGGTCAACAGCCAACAATTTTATTTTATTTTATTTTTTTTTCTTCAAAAAAAAAAAAAAAAAAAAAAAGGAAAAAAAAAAAAAGCAAATATGATGACAGTGTATGCTATAGTTCTCCTTTTGTATTCTCAAAAAGTGAAACGGAATGAATGAGAATTGCATTGGTCTGTGTGTTGCTCTGAATGAAAAGAATGAAAAAGTATTTTTTTCTTTTTACCCCAACGCCTCGGGTTTGTGATGATAATTTAAAAGAATGTTACATTTTCCCACCAGTCACCTTAAAAGAAAGAAAGAAAGAAAGAAAAGAAAACTGCGCACAGCATTCACACACTTTCCGTTGCATCTAATCAGAAGCATCGCAACAATTATTTTACATTTTTGAATACCATGCATAACACACAACAATTCCTAAAAAAAAAAAAAAATAGTACATCCCATACACTGAATTGGAAGCAAGGTTCACTAGTCTTAACAATATTGTGCGAACTACCTATCCAACCTATTGGCCCAACGTCATCATGTCCATTGTCTTTACAGTTCTCTTTGCAGGAACTGCCGTCGGCCTCGGACGTGGATCCAACCTTGCAATCATGAGTCAAGCCGCCTGTTTTATCTTGCCCATCGTGGCTCTTCTCTGGCTCCGGGTCCGAAAGGAAATGAAAGCCAGGGCTCGGAAGAGAGTAAGTCGTTAGCCTCTAGTCTCTATAGCTTGATCATCTTCAGTAATAATCCTCTAGTCCAACCCTCGAGTCTTTCTTGGAATGGAATTTGAGGGGTTGGTATTTTTGCTTTGCCCAAACTAACCGCTATCTCAAACATCTAAACTCTTTTTTTTTTTTTTTGTGAACAATCAATCAAAATCTCCCCATCTCGCTCATTCCTCTTTAAAGTTCAAACACCAGTCTCAGAAACTTCTCCGTGGATGGACAGCGCACGACTTTGTCGCACATGCCATCCAATGGAAAATACGTGTGCGCCCCAAAAGCGTAGCTCTGCCTTGGTACAATCCAACCACATCCTCCACCAATCCTGATCCTGGCATTACTGCTCAAGTGAACATGACAGAAACAAGCACAGGGACAAGATCAGGAGTTGTACCGCAACAGGATCATACAAGGGGAATTGATCTCTCAACCCGAGGTGTAATCGATCCACCACACCGGAGTTTAGAGAACGTTGTGGTTAATGTTGAAGCACCTTCAGCCCCAGTAGGACAAAGATCTCGCAATGAAGCAAATACTAATACTAGAGCTAGCACTGATAACAACAATCAAGATAATAACATCAATAATGACCACGGACCTGAAGAGGAGGGCAGTGAGGGCACAGCTGGCGGCTTACAAAGCTCTTCAACATCATCACAACCGATATCAGATATACCCAACGAAGTCGTGACATCTAGAACCATATCAACATCAACGATCGCACCAGCAGCAACCTCACTGTCTAGAAGACCATCTATAGCAGCTACTAGGAGAGTCGTCGAGGATGTCTATAGTGTATTAAGGCATTCAAACACTAATCCTACTTCAACGCCAACACCGCCATCATCGTCTTCTCCTTCACTTCCACCGACATCTTTACCATCACCATCACCATCACCAACACCCCTACCATCTTCATCTGAGCATCCTAATACTCTACAGAGACAAACCTCTTCGCTCCATCCCTCCATATCTGACGATTTCTCACCGCCGCCATCAACACCTTCTAAATGGGAACCCCTGTTGGATTTACTTCGTGATCTACATTGTTGTGCATTCTTATTCAACGAACCAAGAGTTTGGATGATTGAAATCTCGATTAGAGAAGGTGTTTTGGATGAGTATTCGTTCCCAGTCCCCACACCTGCCTATTGTGATTATCGTTTGCCTGGATACGATGATGTCATTGCGGCAGCAGCTTCACCTTCACCTTCTTCGTCAACGCCACCATCATCTCTTTCTAATAATATCCAGGCACGTTTTTTCAGCTCTCCCCCACCAGCATACGAAAGCGATCCTGAGAATGAATCCGATATTGGAGAAGAGGAGGAGGATGGCGGTAATGATGACCATCATAATAACGCCCATAATCGTAATCATAATCATAATCATAATCATAATAATCATAATGGGCAAGTCGAGATCCATGTAGGGCCCACGAGATCAACCGTTCCTACTATAGTAACAACAGGAACATCATCAGCAACGGTAGCAGCAGCAGCAGCAGCAGTAAGAGATTTGGTGACAGTACTAGATGCCAGTAATCCAGATACCATAGCGACAACAACAACAACAACAACAACAGCAGCAGCAGCAGCAAGAGGAAGAAATACACATTTTCAACAACCTGTAGAGATGACAGCCATCATAATCTCATCCGCCCCAGCTCATCTCAATACATATGTGATGAGACCTCTTGGTGATATAAGGACTTCCACTGATACGACCACGACAACAATCTCTTCGGTCTTATCTAACGACAGTATATTTTCCTTTGAAGATACAGAAGGAGAGATGAAAACAAAATAGTTCTCCCCTCCCTCCCTTCTTCTTTCTTGTTTATAATACATTATACATAACACAGCTTTGTAAATAAAATATACTCGATAAACTCATTAATATATATATATTTTTTTTGTTGTTGTAAATTTAATATAAAGATGTCTACAGTGTTCATACAAAGTTCAAGTTTTTTGAAGAAAGGAGAAGAAAAAGAGGAAAGAAAAAGAAGAAGATGATGATGAAGAGGAAACTTTTTTTTTTTTTACATTTCTATAGGTTTGTAAGGCTGCTAATTGGTAACTCGTTCCTTTGCTTGCTTCTTTTAAGATCCTTATTTCTTTATCCTTGGTCCTTTATCCTTGGTCCTTTGCCTCTTCATGACTTTGTTATGGATCCCATCAGATCAATCGATTGTAACATCTCCAACAGCTTACGTTCTGCAAACGCTACCAACATTTCATTATCCATACTAGGTGGAATATCAACATTGACTAGGAATTGACACTTGAATTTCGTAGCTATTTTTTTTTTTTTTTTTTTTTTTTTAAAAAAAAAATAAAATAGAAAAAAAAGGAAAGTTGATTAATCAAGTTTTTTTTTTTTTTTTTTTTTTTTGTTTGTTTGTTTGATTGCTTGTTTGCATTTTTAACATTTGCTTTCTTTTTTTTTTTTTTTTTTTTTTTATACCTAGACGACGTGCTATACTTGTAGATGTTTCTTCTAATGAATTTCCAAGCAACAAACTAGACACTGGAGCCTAATCCAAGAATTTATTCATAAAAATATATACATACATACGTATATAAATATATATATATATTTTCTCGGTTATCAGCCTTAGTTTTATTTCCCTTTATATATATATATTAACTTTAGACAGAACAAGCAAACAATTTACCTGTCCAGGTCGGAAAGGAGGCATTGCCATAGCAAAATCTCCAAATGATCCTCCTCCTCCTCCTCCTCCTCCTCCTCCTCCTCCTTTGCCTCCAGTACTATCTTGCTGTTGTTGTTGCTGTGGCTGTTGTTGCTGTGTTGCTTGGAAAAGTGCACGAGCAGCTGAAGAGATCCAAACCCATGCAGAATGGTCCATCGCAATCACTTGAATGTAAACTGGGTGTTGGTCCATGAAGCGAAATGTCTGTTGGTGCACCTTTAAACGAGGCGCCACAGACTCTGCAGGTATAAATGCTGTAGACATTTTTATTTTCTTTTTTCCTAAATGATAGAACGATAGAAAGATGAACTTTTTTTTTTTTTTTTTTTTTTTTTTTTTTTTTGCGTCCAAAAGACGCGAGGACTGGCATGCGCGTCTTTAACACAGACGCAGACACAGTCACAGACGCCACCGAAAAATGTTATGCCAAGGAAATTTAATTATGGTTTTTTTTATTTAATGGTAATAGTATTATTTACATTGTTTCCTCAATCCCACAAGTTGGAAGAGGTGAAAGACGATAAAGAAAAAAAAAAAACACACGGCAAAGAAGAATATAAAAAAGTACATTAAAAAAACGAGTTTCGCATTACCAGCGCTTACAAAGATAAAGAAAAAATCAATTGCTCATAAAAATGAAATGGAGGATGTAAAAAAAAAATTATTAAACGTTCGAATACAAAAATAAAAAAAAAAAAATAAAAATAAAAAAAAAAAGAAAAGAAAAGAAAAAAAAAAACTATACTGTTCCATCTCCATTGACTCCACCTCCTGCACCTGTATTGATATCGCCACTATTGCCATCATTATTGCCACCATTCATGTCAGCTCCAGCATTGGACATAGCTGCAGCCTGTGCATTGGCAGCGGCCTGAGCCAAAAGCAATGAAGTTGATTGCATATTGTGCTGCTGCTGGTGCTGCTGATGCAACTGATGCTGCTGCTGCTGCTGTTGTTGCTGTTGTTGCTGGGCATGCTGCTGAGCTTGGTGTAATTGTGCTTGTTGAAGTTGCTGTTGATGCATTTGCATCATCATCAGCTGCTGTGCTTGCATCGGTGGGCTCTGAATCATATTCTGTTGTTGATGTTGTTGTCTCGGTGACTGCATTGTCATTCTAGGCGATTGTAGTCGCGGTGATTGCAACACAGGTGATTGTAGTTGAGGCCCTCCTGTCCCAGGATTTCCAAGTGTATTGCCAATCTGAACACCTTGCTGCTGACCTTGCTGCTGACCTTGCTGCTGACCTTGCTGCTGACCTTGCTGCTGCTGCTGTTGTTGCTGCTGACCCTGCTGCTGCTGCTGTTGTTGCTGCTGACCCTGCTGCTGCTGCTGCTGCTGCTGTTGTTGTTGTTGTTGTTGTTGCTGCTGCTGCTGCTGCTGAAGTTGTTGCAATTGCATTTGTGCCAGCTGTTGTTGATGTAAAATCGCGTTCTGTTGTTGTTGCTTAATCTGTTGGAGTTGCAGTGGGGTAATTGAGCGTCCATTGGGCAAGATATACACCTGTTGGCCAGTCTGAGGCGAGGTTCTAATAGTAATACCAGGAATACCGGCCATGTTTTGAAGAGCTGCTGATGTGAGCGCTGCTGATCCACTCACGGGAGTGATCCCCGATACTGCAGAGTTTATACCTGCCACCGCCGGCGTCATACCAACTCCTGATGCATTAATCGAGACTCCAGGTACACTTCCAGCTGATGTAGCAATTCCTGTTGCTCCAGCGTTCAATTGCCCGCCCATCAATCCTCCTCCTACCGTAGCTGTGGGATTCAATCCTTGGGATATTGCTGCTTGTAAAGGGTTTCCACGACCAGCAGCAGACATACCTGCAACCCCTGCCATCAGACCTCCACGGCCCAGTCCAGCCGCAACATTGACCCCAGCAATGCCTCCGTTATTAGGAAGCATCATGCCTCGTCCTCGACCAAGACCCAGGTTTATACCAGCCAAGTTATTATTGAGACCTCCATTTGCTGCAGACAAATTCAGGTTCATCGCTGCTGAATTAGCGCCGAGTAAGGCTGCTGTGTTCAAATTAGCCATTGTCAAGTTTGGATTTGTGCCTGCAGTCGCAGCTACTACAGGATTAGTAGTACTCGCATTAACAGCGGTACCAGCTGTGCTGGCTATTATGGCGTTGGCATTATTAGCGCGGCTCGTATTCAGCCCTGCGGCCAGTTGAGTAGCTTGTTGGGCAGCCTGTTGGGCAGCCTGTTGAGCAGCTTGTTGGGCAGCTTGTTGGGCAGCTTGTTGGGCAGCTTGTTGATTTCGAATGACAGTGGATCTAGTCATAAGCTCTTTCATCATCTCAGTTGTGACTCCCGCCGCCTTCAAAGCCTCTATCGTCTGTTGCTGTTTAGTCTGGAGAAGTGTCTGTTGCTGCCGCAAAAACACCATCTGTTGGTTGTGCTGACTAACCAGAGCCTGTTGCCGCTTTTGGATTATCTCTTGGGTCAATTCTGGTGGGGGATTTTGCATAGCCTGCCTAATTTGCTGTACTTGTTGTTGGTAGTTCTGCATGTGCAAAGCTTGCTGATTATGAAGTTGAAGAAGTTGCTGTTGCATCGTCATCACTTGTTGAACAGCTACCTGTTGGGCATGAGGCATGTTGGCGGCAGAAAGAGCAGCTGGATTGGCTGTGACATTGTTATTGTTAGGATTAGTGGCAAGATTGGCAGGGCTATTGGGGTTGACAATAGCATTGCTGACATTAGTGGTACTGTTGACTCCTCCCATATTTGTTCCCGCGGCTGTAACAGTTCCAGCTGCTAGAACCGGGGTTCCTGACCCAGGAGTAGCATTTGCCATAGACGTGGGGTTAACGCCACCACCTGCAGCCGACAATGCCCCTTGACCTGATAATACATGAGCACCAACCACTGGCGAAGCAATGGGTGCTTCCGACATACCACCAGATGCTGGAGTGGCCCCAGTATTCAAACTTGCTGGTGCCTGAACAGGCGATGTGAACTGCGGTGTCTGCATGGCTCCAGGCTTTGGTGAACCAGTGATACTTCCTGCACCAACGGAAGCCGCACGCATTACTGGGGTCGCAATGACTCCATTTTGGGGGATAGGGCTGGCCAAGGGATTCTGCTGTAGTTGTTGCTGCTGGGGTGTATGCTGCTGCTGCTGCTGCTGCTGCTGCTGCTGCTGTTGTTGTTGTTGTTGACCCTGTTGTGGCTGTTGAGCCTGCTGCTGTTGCTGATTTTGTTGCGGCTGCTGTTGCTGTGCCTGCTGTGCCTGTTGAGCTTGTTGAGCTTGTTGAGCTTGTTGAGCTTGTTGAGCTTGTTGCATTTGAAGCTGTTGTGCTTGTTGCATTTGGAGCTGTTGCTGTAGCCTCATACCTTGATAGTGAATTTTCACATTATTAAATTGATTCAACGAAATTCCTGCCGCATTCAAGATCTGTAACAATTGAGGCGTAGGCTGCTGTGGACCAAACATTCCGATCTGAGCAAGATGGCTTGCAAGAGCTAATTTTTTTTTTTTTTTTTTTTTTTTTTTTGCAATAGATACATTTAAAATAATAATAATGTATTAATAAGTAAGCTCCCTGTAGTAGCTTTTCCGCAACCTTACCATAATGTCTGCTTAGGAAACAACAATGTGTATGAAGATCCAAAGAACTTACTATTAAGAGCAATATTCGGGTTAAGGCCTCCGTTTCCTCTGCCTGCAGCCAACTGCTGACTTCTCTGGAAGTTGACTAAGATGGCCCTCAAGGCATCTTGTTGGCTCCGCTGTTGCGCTGGAGTCAGTGGCATAGAAGCTTGCATAGGATTTGCCATGGCTCCCATTGATACATTGGCTACATTCATATTGGGTGACATCATGCCATTGGCACCCATCACTCCAGCAGCGTTAGTGTTGGCATTATTCATAATGGCATTAGCGTTGTTCTGAATATTATTTGCTACATTAGTCGTGTCCTGACTATTCATGGCTGCACTAACAAGGCCGTTTGGTGCCATAGATGGTGACTGTTGTGGCTGCTGTGGTTGCTGCTGCTGTTGCAATGGCTGTTGACCTTGTTGCTGCTGCTGAGGCTGCTGAGGCTGCTGAGACTGCTGCTGCTGTTGTGGCTGTGGCTGTGGCTGCTGCTGTAGTTGCTGTGGTTGCTGCGGCTGTTGTTGTTGAACTTGAGCTTGAGCTTGACCTTGAGCTTGACCTTGAGCTTGAGTTTGACCCAATTTAGCCTGCTGTAGTAGCTGCTGCTGCTGCTGCTGCATTCTTGTTTGTAGTTGTTGTTGAATAAGAATATGTTGCTGCTGCCGTTGCTGGTTAGTCAATGCGGCCATACGCTGCTGCTGCTGTTGTTGTTGTTGTTGTTGTTGCTGCTGTTGCTGCTGTTGCTGTTGCTGTTGTTGTTGCAACTGCGCCTGAGCCATTGTAGGAGTTCCAGGAGGCACACCTGCATTTGGTGTAGCGTTTGCAGCTGCTGCTCCACTGGAAACTGTTCTCTGCATTGCGAGCGGCGATCCGATGATCGATGGCGTGTTGTTTAGGCTACCCAACTGCTGGCCAGGTAGACCGGCTCCAGCTACTCCAGGAATAGACACTGAGCCGCCCGTTGACATACCCATTGTATGCATCTGGTTGGTTTGCTGAGGTGACTGTAGCTGTCCAGGCTGCTGCTGCTGCTGCTGCTGCTGCTGCTGTGATTGCGGTTGCTGCTGCTGCTGCAATTGCGCAAGTTGCTGTTGTTGAAGCTGCTGCTGCTGTTGTTGTTGTAGTTGCTGTTGCTGTTGTAGCTGCTGTTGCTGGAGTTGCTGCTGCTGCAATAGCTGCTGCTGCTGCTGTTGCTGGAATGCAGCAATCTGGCGCTGGAGCTCCTGGTGACGCGCAGCAAAAATCTGCTGCTGTTGAGGCGTGAGCTGCCCGTTTTGCTGCTGCCGGGTACGTTGAAGTTCTGCTGCCAACTGTTGCATTTGGAGATGTGCGGGGGTGATAGTTTGCTGTGCAAGCTGGGGTTGTGGCTGAATCGAGCCCTGACCTTGTTGTTGCATTTGAAGCTGCTGTTGACGCTGAAGTATCATCTCTTGCTGACGCTGCAGTAAGATGGCCTGTTGAATTTGTTGCTGCTGTTGCTGTTGCTGTTGTTGACGGAACTGCTCTTGCTGGAACTGCTGCTGCTGCTGTTGCAACTGTTGTTGTTGCAGTTGTTGTTGCTGGATGTGCTGTTGCTGCAGCTGTTGTTGTTGCAGTTGCTGTTGCAGTTGTTGCTGTTGTTGCTGCTGTTGTTGCTGCTGCTGTTGTTGCTGCTGCTGTTGTTGCTGCTGTTGCTGATGTTGCAACTGTTGTTGTTGTTGGAGTTGTAGCTGCAACTGCTGTTGTTGTTGCTGTTGCTGCTGATGCTGCTGTTGGGGTTGCTGTGGCAGAGGTTGTGATAGTTGTGGCTGCTGTACCTGCTGCTGGGGCTGCTGCGTTTGCTGTTGCTGCTGAGGCTGCTGCTGAGTAGCCTGAGACTGACTGTTCTGCTGCAAAACCTGCTGTTGCTGTTGTGGAGTGAGTTGCTGCTGTGGCAATTGCATGGCACCCATTTGAGGCGTCTGAGGTACTGGGGTATAGCGAGTCTGTGGGGTTGTGACAGTGTTTGTCGCATTCGTAGCTGATTGTGCGGAAGTGTGCGCATTTGCTGCCATATTGTTGGCAATAGCTGTGCCGCCAGTAGCTGATGCAGTATTTGTGTTTGCTGCTGCTGCTGCTGCTGCTGCTGCTGCTGCTGCTGCCGCCGCCGCCGCCGCCGCCGCTGCATTTGTTCGTGCGGTATTGGTCGAAGTTGGCGTTGTATCACTTATTAAAGAGTTTGGAGAAAAGTACATTGATTTGAGGCTCTGAACATACGCGTCCGCGCATTGTTCTGGCCCAAGATGAAATCTAAAATAATTGAAAATAAGGATCATCAGTATTCACCGCAAACGAAATGTTTTTGAGAAGTCCATGGTTCTATCTTTATCATTCCAACATACTTGCGAATGCCACCATTGACTGCAGAATCTGGAGCAGTTCCATAACGCATAATCGCCTCGAATGACTGGTCCGGACATTGCATGATGTTGAACATAAAATACACCTTGTCTATTAAAACGAAGATATATGTTACTGTCAGTTTCCCGAACAAAAAATAAAAAATAAAAAAATAAAAAATGAAGTGGCAGAAAAAACTGTCAGTCCAACTGACGCTGATTAGAAGCTTACAATTCCTCTGTTTGTCCTCGCGCTCGAATCGAATTGTTCGTACGATCTTTCGTCCATCTGGCAAAATTGACATTTCTTGTCGTTTGGCCTTGGATTTCTTTGGGTCCAGTACCGGTATTGGTTGTGTTTCCTCCATCTTTTTCTTTTGTCGCCACTCCTTGAGGAAAGCCAGTCTGCCAAAATTGGGCTGAAAATCTACATTTGATTTCTTTAAGCAAGTAATTGTTATGACATTAGTTGAGTACCATACTTGACAGCTAAAAATATCCTCCTCCATTATGAACAATCTTTTTATGTGAAGCTTACTTCGTCCATCATGCTCATTAGTTTGTCCTCTTCGGCCTTCCTTGTCGCCTCCTGCTCCCTTTCGAGAGAGTTCCACTTTCTTCTCTTTCTTGTCCTCTGAGTAGCGGAGGTCTGGTGATAGCTGATCTCATTACTTATCACAGTGACCATAGGAGATGGGTCCAAACAAAGCGGTCCCTCTGTGGCGATCTATCAACAGCATACCAGTAATAAGGTATAATAAGTGGGATGTGATTGACGACTATAGATGCAAGAAGGATAATTTTCCTGAAATCCATACCAGAATCTTTGACTCAATATCAAGCATCATATCACTAGACCATGATTCTCCCGACTCTTCATGAAGTAATGAAAGATCTGCCCACAATGTCTCCTGTGTGGGTGAGAGGACAATCCGCTTTGTAGTCACTTCGCTCTCCTGTTTTCCTTTGGTTCGATGATCCACGACTTCAGCAATTAGACATCCTAGATGTATTTTTAAGCAAGAGAAAGAGAGAGGAAAAAAAAAAAAAAAAAAAAAAAAAAAAAGGTCCAATAGTAGAAATTAAGGATGACGAACAGGGTAATAAAGCAAAGTAGTAAAATCAATCTTTGATTGAATCCGTTTTGACAGGCTCCGAAAATTTTGTCCGCGCACCTTCATAATATGGACATTGTGCACTTTTGATTACGTCTAAAAGTCCAGACGGTAGCCTCTTCTCCTGTATACTTTTCAAGAATATCTACTTGCACCAACATATAGTTATAATTGACTGTTAATATTCTGCACACTATAACTTCGAGTTCGAAACAGTTCAGACGGTTTATTTCTTTACCTTCATTGGAGAATTAAACAAAAAGACACCGTCCTAAATTTTCATTATTATTGTTTTGATCCAAGATTAAGACCGAGTAATTTAGTGGCAACACCCAGATATCTCTTATAGTCTTATAGAGCTGTTTGTTGTTTTCGTAGATTTAATAGCCATAAACTAACCTGGCTTTCAAACTTGAAATGGGTTTCATAAAGATGGATCGTGAAGGACGCAGAACTGCGTTTATATTTTTCAAGAAGGTCTACAATCAACATGAATGATAAAGAGATTAGCAAGGAAGAGAAGAAGAAAAAAAAAAAAAGATATAAATGACATTTGAGTATTTTTCATGATGCTTTGCATACCTGTCTTGCTCAATGTCTAAATAAAATAAGAAAAAAGAAAAGAAAAAGCAGTTGATAAGAAATCGATGAATAACATTACAATCAACACGGTATAATATGTGGAGGAATAGAAAAACAGGGCCAAAAAAAAAAAAAAAAGGAAAACGAAACACACAATCAAATACTATCAATCTCTATCTTTTTTTTTTTTTTTTTTTTTTTTTACCTTCAATGGAGAATGGATGTGGATGTCATCTATACTTCTTTTGGTCCCACGCGGTGTGTGTCCAGATCGTGAGTGACTCAAGGACAATGCTGAGCCCCTGGGAGATGAAAGAGATGTTGCTGCAGAGCGAGGACTCTCAGTCATGACTGTATCCACTATGGCACCTTGTTGATGTTGTTGCTGTAGTTTTGTCTGTAATGATAGGGATTTGGATTTCTTATTATGGGCTCGTCCTGAACTCGAGAGACCATTAGGTGAGTTTAGGGTCTTTGGTGACTTGGGGCCACTACCACGGGGGCCATTCCCCATGCTGGCTGTTTGCATACCCGTGGTCCCTCCAAACTGTGACCCTTGCTGTTGGTTGGAATGATGTTCGATGGCAGTGACCATCGTCGAGTTCATTCTTCAACCTGTGAAGAAATAAAAACAGAAAGGAAAGAAAGAAAGAAAAGAAAAGAATGTGAAAGAGTGAACGTGAGAGAGTGAAAGAGTGAGAGAGTAAAAGTAAGGACAAGAGTGAATGAGAGGGGGGACCAAATGACCTTAAAAGAGTAGTTACGCGTGTTCAAAAAAAAAAAAACAAAGGTGAAGAGAATCCTTCACAATAATCAGTCAAAGGTCATGCAAGGGTGATTTTTTTTTTCTTTCTCCTCCTTCCCCTTTGCTTTCGGACAGAATAACTTGGCTAGACTTGTGCTGAAGATTGATACAACAGATCTGGATGGATAATGATCAAAATGTGTGTCTGTATGTCTCAATGGTGACAGAAAGTGGCAAAATAAATGTATAAAGTGTAAAATACAAAAAAATGTCGAGTTTAGGGTTTTAAAGTCCAGCTGGTGATTATGAAAAATGAGATGAAAGAATGATGTGAATGTATGAATATGTGGGGATTTTTTTTTACTTTGTTAAAAATGGATATTAAAATGATGTGAAGGAAAGGAGAGATGTCAGGAATAGGGGAGAGAGAGACAAGAGAAAGGGAGTGAGGGAGTGAGGGAAAGAGGGAGTGAAATAAAAGAAAAGTGATCCTCTGTGTTGAAAGAGGAGGAAAGAAGTGTCTTTGCAAGCGTGTTTAACTACAGCGGAAAATAAGAGGGTTGATGGACGAGTAACGTGACAAGAGGTTAAAAAGAAAGAAAGAAAGAAAAAAAAAAAAAAAAAAAAACTTCCCACCAATTGGGGTTCAACACAATGAAGGATGAACCAAAAAGGATGCTTCACCTAGAAGAACAGAAACGTAAAGAGATGTTCAAGAGGGTAGGAACGATTCAAACAAGTAAAAAGGACAAAGCATCAACTTCATTTTCTATAATGACAGAAATAGGAAGGAAATCACGTGTGATTAATACAACCAAATGTCTTCAATGTAGAAACAGTAGTATGCCAATGCCTGTGGTAAGATCATTGTATTATAAATAAGTTGCGGTAACCCTAAAAACTAAGACCAATAACATGTACACTGCACTACGTTTCCTTTGCACATCAGTCCTTGCGACTCTCCAGGTTGGTGACACGGTCCTGTAGGTTCTTGATCGAAGAACTTGAACTTGGCTCATTCGCTTCTCTTTCTTCCTCATCTTCTACTTCCATAGCTGAGGAAGGGTCCTGAGTTTTAGTCAATGGAGGCGTAGGCAAAGTTCCACTGTTCGGTGAAGAGTTATTATGACCCATTTGGTCTGCAGATGTTGATGGCTCAGTTGATGTCTCCATTAATTCTGGTCCTGATACAGATCCGCCAGCCGCGGTCTCTGAAGTCCCGTTCAAGGATGTTGCAATGCCCGTCATGGCGGATGCAGATGAAGGAGAGGTAGACGGTACAGCAGTTGCTGCTGTTGGTGCTGCTGATGTTGATGCCGCTGTTGTTGCTGGAGCTGCTGCTACTTTTGTCTTTTTTGGTGGTGGGGGTGGAGGTGTTAATCCTTGATGTTCTTCAAGTTGTCGAACACGAGCATTCAGATGCTCAATCTCATTCTCAAATCGCTCAATGACGCCCTTCTCCAACTCTTTGAATTGTCCTCGAACAAGATTCTCGATCATGGTGCCACTGGCTTGGAGTGTTTGAAGCAATTGGGCCGATTTACGAATCTGTTCCTCCAGGGTATATTTAAGACTACGGCTGCTGTCAACTGAATCAAACAAGTTCGATACAGTTTCCATGAACATATGCTTTGGATTGGACAGGAAAGGTGTAGACGGTGGGTACATGGACGGCGAGGGTAATGGCCCTGTATGCGACGACAAAATTGGTGCTGGGATCGTTCCACTGTTTAAAGAGCAGTCGTTATGAGACAATTAACATGTTGAAGCAAGGAAAAGAAAAAAAAAAAAAAAAAAAAAGATAGAAGCTAAAATAATAATAATAATAAAGAAAAAAAAAAAAAAAAACTTACTTGCTATCAGCACCAGTACCAGGTTGTCGGAGGGTAGTACGCGATGTCTTCTTGGCATGGCCTGCGGTCCTAGGAGAGCGTAAAGGCTGCTGGAAGGAGCTTGTCTGTGCAGCAACATATGGGTGGCTCTGATTTCGCAGTGGTTGAGACGTTCTAAGGCCCATACTCATGGCTTGATGACTTTGTGAGGGCTGCAATGGTGCAGAGTGGATGGAAAGTGACGATTCAGAGTACGAGGGAGCAAAAATGGTCAGAGACTTTGCGTTCTTTGGTTTCATTGGAGAGGGTAGTGGACGACGATTCAATGAAGCAAAGGATGAGCTGCCATGGAAGACAGAAAGGCCACTTGAGGAAGCCTCTGTAACAGGTGGATTCGATCCATTAGAGCTCAGCTTTGATGCACTCGAGGACTGTGGTAGTGGCGATGGTTGACCATGCTGTTTGGCCTCAATGATGGCCTTTTGTTGTTGTTGCAGTTTGATCGTTGACCGCACCCGATCCAAGACCTCGGGTTGTATGGAAGATGGAGGAGGGGACTGTTGTCGACCCCCTTTCTGACCAGACGATCCTGGAAACCGACGCTTCTTGTAACGGATGTCTTCATCGTCATCTTCAGAGTTTGATCCAGGTATGGGAGACTCATGTCGATATCGGGGGGAGGAAGGGCGATGATGATTTGATTGTGATCGCATTTCACTTCGTCCAAATTGTCTAGTGAGATTCAATGTCAAGAAAACGTTTGATTAGTTGAGGTCTTGGGAACGTTGTGCATGACAGGGGCCAGGTGTCTCACGTAAGATCATTCTCTCCTTTTTTTTCTAGTTCTTTTCCCCTGATCCATAAAAGCCGCTTGATTATTTTTTTTCCTAATCAATTATCGTCTGCTGACCACTATGGTGTGTATAGTCAGTAATGCTTAGGAAAAAAAAAAAAAAAAAAAAAAAAAACTCTCCGAGATGCCCTCGCAATCAAGTTTTTCTCAATGTTACACATGAGCTGCAAGGAATAACCTAATAGATCGAGCAAAGAGGCAAAGACAACACGAGAATCGGTATAGCGACGATAAAGAGTGAGGGTATCTCTCTCCGTTCTCTTTAAGGGGAAGGAGGAATGAAGGAAAGGATAAAAGGAACTAATAACCCCCCTCGGGATTGATTAGGCCTTTCCTTCCCCACAGATGGTGGCACCAGTATAATAAGGATCAAAACTATAATTTTGTCGCACATAAAATCATACACTTGAAAAAGCGGCTGAACTAGGGCGTCTTTTTTTTTTTTCCCATTGCGTTACATGTATTGATCGATTTAGAACGTGCTGCAGTTAATCAAGGATCAATATGTAATAAGGATACATAAAATAAATACCCATGTTCATGCAACAACATTATAGTACATGCACATTGTTGTCGTCTAGACATGGACATGTGCTAAACAAGCCATTGTGCAAATTTTTTGTTTTGTTTGAGATAGCAAATAAAAACACATTCTATTGAATGAAAGTAACATGGTAAAAAAAAAAAATGTGGAAACAAGAAATAAAACTTACACAACCTCAATTGATTTCCCAAAAGTGTATGCAATGGTATAAGTAAACCATCATCTTTGGCTCTACTCTCAAAAGCATAGTAAAGAAAGAATAAAAAAAAAAAAAAAAAAAAAAAAAAGAGCATAGCCAAATAAAAATGGTCGATTTGGTTGCTCAGAAGTACTTTGGATAACAATAGCATCGCTGAGAGAGAGAAAGAGAAGAGAAGGCTGGAAAGAGAGAGAGAAGCTTGGAGATGGAAAGGATGATGTGCTAATGCACACCAGTAACAGTTCCACACCACAATCACACTAATAAAAAAAAGAACCTACCGTGATTGGGGATGCGAGCCTGCCCCGCCATGGCTCACACTCGAGTGTGGTGCCGGTGGGTCAGAGAGGGACATCTCATCGTGCGAGCCTCTGCGTCTGTAGGGTGGTGAGTCTTCTTCATGTCCATACAGATTCTGTTGTGGGTGGTTATCAATGACTTCATGGATAGCCATCCTATTGAATCGATTAGTCGTGGTCGGAGTAATAGGCGATCGCCACGTAGAACCGGCATCTGGATCTCGAGAAAACTGTTGCTGTTGCTGTTGCTGTTGCTGTTGCTGACTGTGGCCTCGATTCTCTCTAGATGAATACGATGATGTTGAATGCTGCTGTTGTTGTTGATAGTGCTGCTGTGATGAGGACGACTGGTTAGGATATCGGTCTGAATTATGTCCTTGGCTGCTACTGCTGTTATACGAATGGTGTCCGCCACGAGAGTCTTCCATTGCGATGATGTGTTCCTTGTAGATTTTGAATGGGACAAATACTAATGATCGTAGTAGAACAGCTCGATTACGAGAGAATCACCTGGTTCTGATGCAAGAGATGAAAGATCACCAAAAGAATGAACTCAGGGGAGAAATAAAAATAAAAATAAAATAAAATAAAATAATAAAGACGGAAGCGATGATGCAAGTCAAAGGAACAGAATAGATGGAATGAAAGAGAAGGAAAAGAAAAAAGACAACAGAATTGAATTGAAAGTAATGGCTATACAAGGGGGGTAACAAGTAAAATATAAAAAGTGAGAGCCTGGTTTTGTCATGCCATATCCCATGTCTTTTTTTCTTTTTTTTTTTTTTCCAACACAATGGGCATCTATCAAATCATCGATTAGTACTTTTGGTTCATGGATAGGTTTAGGGCATATTTAGTACGCCATCAGAGACGATTGACGCGAGATCCAGAGCCCTGGCTGGATTTGTCTCACACACACATTCTCTGCTATTTTCTTTCTCTCATTCTAGAACACGTCTACACCGACACTAATCTGGTGCATCATAAACTCTGTTCAACATGAGCCCTTGGACTCTTGCACATGTCCTGGTACAATCCAATTCCTATTACTCATGCTCTTTATTCTCTCCCTCCAGACCTGTCTGCTTATGGTTCGGTACTTTTTTTCCTTGGTTACCATTTTCCTCCGCAAGAAAAGATCCAAGGAAAAGTCACTCGGACACGCGTCAAAATGGCCGATGGACCACCTCCATGGTAACTGTTGCGATAGAGCACGAGTCCTATTTCCATTTTCAGCATCCGACACTTTGTACGTCCTATACTTCCCTTTCTCTTCCTTCCACATTTCCAGTGTTCATTCGATAGGGAGAATTACAACAAAATACACCGCCACACTCTTCTGCTTGTTGTATCCCTTTGTGTTAATTGTAAAAATGCGTAATAATGCAAACTTCCAACATCTTGGGCTTTTTTTTTTTTTTTTTTTCTTGAAACATTTGTTCCATGCTTGTGGCGCTGCTAAAAAAAAAAAAAAAAAAGTTTAGAGGCAGGTTTTTTCACTTCTTTCCTTCGCTCTCCTCACTGCTTCTCTCCTTTTACTTTCCCCAACATTATCCATGTATTGATGAAATATTTATTTAGTAGCCTCCAAAAGATACCGATTTAGTGTTTATGGAAGTTAAACAAATCTTTTATTTCCTTATGAGAGCAATTATAACCTCGCATCTTTGTTTAAATTGTTTGTTCCACAATCTAAACCTTCACAAGTGTGGTAAAAAAAAAAAAAAAAAAAAAAAAAATGAACAAACGACGCGTATTTCCATTAAACATGGCATGTATATATTATATATAAATATACATGTATATACGTATGTATATTTGTATACATATAAATAAGTATATGTACAAGAATAGATTTGGGCTGCTTAAAAGATGTAATCAAGCACTTTTTAAAGAAAAAAAAAAGGTCAGTGAATGGCACAGCAAATAAAAACGAAAAAGATATGCTAAGCCTCTTTTTTTTTTAGCCCGAGCTAACACCCTGGTGATGGCAAAGTAAGATTTGTAAAACATGACAGAGAAGAAAAAGACAAAAATAAGATAAGGGGGCAAGGTCCAGAATTCATTTCGATTCAAACGAATGTCCTTTTGAAAATATCAATTTAGTCTATGATCTGTAAAAATAAAAAATAAAAAACTCCTTCCTCGTCATGGTCTTTTTTGCTATTTCTCTTCTCTCCTCTCCCTCCCTTCCCTTCTCTTTCCTCTTTTGGTCTTATCAAATCCAATCCAACCCAATGTAGCCCAGCCCAGTCCAATCCAACCCAGTGCAGCTTCATCCATTAGAATAATGTTTTGTGAAACAGTTAGGGACCTGCATGCCTTGTTCTGTTAAATCACAGTTCTGTTAGAAGGAAAAAAATAAAATAAAATAAAATAAAAAGAGAGAGAGAGAGAGAGAGAGAGAGAGAGAGAAATAATGTATCAATGCAATGATCTTCCCCTTTTCAAAGTGAGGTATTGAAGTAGTGGGACGAAGAGAGGAAGAGGAGCGAGGGTCTACTTGCATTCTCACAAAAACTTGATCTCCTTCAATTGATTTGAATCCAAAGGTGTTTATGCATTATTATTTTTTTTTCCTCCCCCTAGTCTCCCTAGTCTAAGGAAACTCCTGTAGCAATTGACGTGTTTTTTTACAGTTTAAACTATTTATGAATATGCATCAACTGATCATTATGCAACGCGTAAGTTCAATGTTGCTAGTCTACAAAAGTTCTTCCCTCATATAGAGAGGGCCTTTTTTTTTTTTTCTCCTCTCTGCTATGATCGCGATCATCTCCAAACGGCTTTTTCTCTTTTTCATGAGCGCATAGAAATCGACAAGGGCCCTACGCACACTATAATAGAAGAACAAAACAAACAAAGTCAACCAATGAATCAATCAATAAATGCAAAAAAAGAAGAAAGTAAGGCATGATGACAATGTCATGCAATGCCAATCAATAGAACCTTTCTTCTTCTTCTTCTTCTTCTTCTTCTTCTTCTTCTTCTTCTTCTTCTTCTTCTTCTTCTTCTTCTTCTTCTTCTTCTTCTTCTTCTTCTTCAGTTCTCTAGTTCTTTAGTTCTTTAGTTCTTTAGTTCTTTAGTTCTTTAGTTCTTTAGTTCTTTAGTTCTTTATTTTGTTTGTTCTTTTGAGAAAAGGTTATATAGTAATAATATATATACCAATGACTTGTCTGATCGTTTTTTTTTTTTTTTTTTTTTTTTTTACATGCTAGTCTAAAAGTCTATACTCGCCAATGACAATCCATCTCTAGAGAAACTCGAGGCGCATAAACTTGTCCAGTCGCCAAGCCCTCAGAGGTATTTTATTTTTTTTATTTTTTTTATTTTTTTTATTTTATTTTTTATTTCATTTTATAATATTATGATGATTAGCATTAATATTATATATTATATGTATTTTACACGTTTGTTTGTAAATCTGTTATTTGTTATTATGACCATCATTATTTTTTCGCGTAGCATGCATGGCATAGCATAGCAAAGTATAGCCCAGTATAGTAGAGCATAGGATAGGATAGGATAGGATAGGATAGGATAGGGTAGGAAGGAATTTCTCTTCGCGCGATTGTCTTTAAATCGGAGTATGAAAAGAAAAAAGATCAATGACAATCTCTTACAACCTACTGTGGCACGCAGCTCAGCTTTTTATCTTTGTAAAGCAAATGTAAAGCATTACAAACAAACAAACATGTATGTATAATTAATACGTCTGATGATTGTAATGAGAAAAAGCAAATACTTGAAAGGATGATGCATGATGGATGACAAAAGTGGTTTTTTAGTGGTTTTTTTTTTTTTTTTTTTTGGTTTTTTGGTGGTATGGAAAATAGAAACAAAACATTGTGTAAGCGAGAGAGAGAGAGGCAGAGAGGCAGAGAGAGAAGGCAAGCAATAGGTAACAAGCAATAGGCAATAGGCAACAAGTATATAACAAGTAAATCGTTTCGTACTCATTTCTCTGGCTTTGTCGATCAGGGGTAAATAAACAAAACAAAACAAAACAAAAAAAAAAAAAAAAAAAAAAAAAAAAAGATTCGAAAATAAATACAAGACGCGTCTAAATTGTTTCAATCCCGAACAATGCTTGCTTCCATGTAAACAACACAAAGAACAAACAGCACAACACAACACATGGATGCATAAAAAATAAAAAATAAAAAATAATAGAAATTATAGAAATTATAGAAATAAAAAAAAGACGCGAACCATTTTCGATTTTTTTTTTTTTTTTTTTTTTTTTTTGTTCAACTAATCCTTTCAATTTCTTTATGCTAAAAAAAAAAAGTCCTCGCCCACCTCCTCTCTCTTTCTCTCTCTCTGTCTTCTTTACCTTTTTGTCTCTTGACGTAATCCTCCCAAGAGAATGGAAGGAAGGGAGGAAGGAAGGAAGAGAGGAAGGAAGGAAGGAAGGGAAAAAAAGAGTGGTGGAGGGTGGCACAGAGATTTGGATCGGGGACCGTTAAAGTTGCCAAGGGGAACCCCAGTTGTTCCAAAGGAAGGATTCACATTGATTGATCAACGAATCTCTTTCTTTCTCCTCTCTCTTCTTCGATTGATCGATCTTCTTTGTTCCATAACAGACGAGTTCTTTATATAAATATATATTTATAAACATATATATACAGTCTCCAATTCAACTAAAGTATTGTACATATATATATATATATACATATGAATCATTATTATTATTCATCGGTGGCTGTGGAACCAACCAGGTAGCGAAATAAAGTTTTGATATATCATTTCAAAAGCTCGATTGAATGGGGAATAAGAACTCTTGAAACTTTTTTTTTTTTTTTTTTTTTTTTGTTCAGTCGCTGTATATATTTATAATGCTTTATATATACATTCATATATATTCATTTATATATTTATTCACTTTTACATTTATTCATTTATACATTTAATCATTTATGTGTTCATTTTCAGTTATGTATTTATCTCTATAAAAAAAAAAAAAAAAAAATGAATGGACGCGACACGACACGACACGACACGATACGATACAATATAGGGTTTATGAGAAAAAAAAAAAAAAAAAAAAAAAAAAAAGAGTTCCTGTGTGTTCATGAATCTACAGATGATATAACATAATATAACATAATGTAATACAATATGTATAATGTCATTAGGATAGAAATGGAGAGGCCTGTTACCATTGATGTCACGAACACGAAAGGCAACGCGCTCCCTCACTTCCCCCTCTCGCAGGCATCGTTTTATTAAAATAAAAATAAAAATAAAAATAAAAAAAATAAAAAAAAAAATAAAAAGTCCTTTTTCACGGAATTCATGTCAGTGCTCAAGCAATAATCCTGAGCTTAGGAAGAGAAGAAGGAGCAGGGGAAGGGAGAAGAGGAAGGGGAAGGGGAAGGAGAAGGAGAAGAAAAGAGGTGGCAATTATTTGTGCCAGATGAGGGGGAACAAGTAATATGTAAGTTATAAAATGAAAAATGAAAACTAACCAGCCTACATGATACATTTTTCACACATTCATATACTCACAACAATCAATTTCAACAGTTTAAAAAGAAAAAGGCGGGAAAAAAGCCATGGTAATGTTTATCCACAATTAACCATAAGATGTATACAAATTAATAACGGATACCAAGAAAAGAAATGAATGAACATCCCCATTCATGTGGAAGGAAGGAAGGAAGGAAGAAAAGAAGGAAGGAAGAGGAGGAG